AAAGACATGTTGAAGCTGCAAACGAACGAGATGATATGAAACAGGACTGGTCCTGCCTGTCGTTATTATGCTGGCACCAGTTGGGACATTTGCAAGTGATGGAAAACGAGACAGCAACATGTCTCCGGTGTCCTGGCCTCTTTTCACCACACACGAACACACCCTGCCAGCGAGCGGCGGGAGCTTGTGGTTCCAGTCCAGTGACAGCGGCCCGTAGTCAGGGTGGCGGCGCTTCAAGAGCAGCTCCTCGTTCTGGAGAAGCGTGTTTGTGTTGGCGCCGAATTAATAACTTTTCATTTAGTGCGGAAATGACAGGAATAGTAATTAAGGAAATGGAATGATTTTATTGGCCATGATGTTTATATTAACTTCCAGATGTGAAGCAGCTGCCTTTACAGCAAGGGGCCCTGCCCCCACACGCGCTATCTGGAGAAACTCTTAAGAGAGCACGGTAACTGTGACAGTCAAACTCATGCCTGGTGCATAAAAACACACGTAGCATCTCATTCACAGCGTGTAGCAAGCCGAGCTAAAATCACGTCTTGTTTGATTAATAGGAAGCCGTCACAAAGCACCACGACGTCTGCTTCGGATTTAGAAACCTCCCCCCAAGGTGCAATTTATTTGCAGATATAATGTTACACTATTTCAGGGCTTATTTGCTTGAATGGAAAAGTTAATATTTAGGGGAGGCTGTTCAGCATTTATGGGTGGCCTCAACACATTTCAGACCCTAAAGTTCAGTTCTGTCAAATGGCAGCGACAGCGCCACTGAGATCCACACTTTAACCTGTCAAACGTCCAGTCTGGATTTCAAATTAAAAGCAAATCTGAGGCCGATGTAACTAATGAAGCGGTTGTGAACTGAGATGACAGAAGATTACATCAACCTGCCTTGTTTTTGTTCGTTTTAAGCAAATTCTATTGGAACCACTGAGGTTGGTAAGTGTTTGAACAGTTAGTGGATAAAAAAGTGCGATGAACTCAAAATTTTAACAAAATAAAAAGCTAAATTAGCAATTATTGCTAGCGAATTGTTGCTTTTGTGCCTAAATACATTTTCCCAAATGGCAGCTAGATATTCAGGAAAGAACCGTTCTCTCCACGCTTTGAAAAAGTGTGCACCTCTTTGTGCACATTCTGTTCACAAGCAGCTGCTGGCGTAGCAAATTAAACAGCATGCCGAACTTTAGCTTACCTGTCGAGCAGCAACCCGGCAACAGAAGCATCCGTGGGGAGCCCAGTCTTCGCTTTCAGTTCACGCCATCGTTGAAAAAAGTCTCTTAAAAAAACTCTGGTCTTACTGAACACTTCGGAGGCATTTCTCTTCTTATCGTAGACTTCAAAGACACTTTTTCTCTTGTGACTCTCAGCCATTTTCAAAAAAACCCGGTGAGAACGGCAAAGAAGGAAGGCGTATCGCTCTACACATAAACAAAATGCGCATGGCATGCACAGGAAGTGAAAACTAACCTAGGAACGAGCATGTATGACGACGTCCTTACGTGAAAGCTTCACCAGAATGACTGACAGACCAATAGTTCAGATGATTCACCTAGAAGAAAAAGATCCTCCGCTATACCTTCAACTGAAGATAGATATAAAGGCATACGTACATTTTTATGAATACACCTCTACCTAGCGCATAATGAGTGGAGGACCCAGGTAAATATGGAAGTGCGATGGACGGTTCAACGAGACAAACGGATGGTCCGATAGTTCGTTTTGGACTGAGCCGTATTATTGGTTGAGATTTACAAATACAAGAGAACCACGTATGTATAGCTATGCTTTGTTAGAACGTCGTTAAAAGGCATGAAAAAATGTTTTAAGATGGCTTATTTTGTAGAGTTGCCATTGAGTATGTTTGTCTATCGGCCAATATTAGCATTGAAATTTAATATCAGAAATTATTGGTGTTTTTTTACTCTTTTAATGACACAACATTTACATACCACGCACATATCACAAACCAATATTTTCAGATGTCAAAATATGAAAGATCTGAGGTATAATTTTTACATTTTTATGTGTTTGGTGCAAATGGCCTAAATTGAACTGTTGTTATATTTTGCAAATATTGTGTTAAAAGACCAGTTCATTGAGAAACTAAAATATGATGAGTCATTCTGAGTTTAACATTAGCATTAGCAACTCCACAACGTGGCAGAACTCCTCCAAGCTTGTGTTATTTGTAGAGATAAAGCATCAAGTTGAGTCAGTGGTAGAGACGCATTGCTGTTAGCCATTCAGATGCAAGATGTCCAGATATCAGGAAATAAGACTCCTGCCGTCTTATTCTCGTCTCTCATCTGGCTCACTTCTACATTCTGAAAAACGGGAGCGCCAGAGCTTTTTTTTCCTACAGAGACCAACTCACAAGGCATCCATTTATACTAGAGACCACTGCGGAAGTGTTGGAAACATGAGTGAACTGGTCTTTAAAGTTTACTTGTGCATCATATGAGATATGTGATGTTAGTTACCAAATAGTATTTAACTTTTCTGTCAATATCATTATCAGAAATTAAAAGTTAGACTCTAACGGTATATCGGATATTGGTAAAACAGGCCAATATCGAACAGCACTAGTTGTAATTGTGCATTCTGGTATATAAACTGTATGCACAGAGGGGTTTTTTTGCACGCATTTCTATTGTCTTCATGTTATTTTTTCCATAATCCCTGGTTTGAAGCAGCATTTTTGTGATTTAAAAACAATTTCCACCCACAGAAAATTAAAGCCCAACCCAAAAATATCTAAGAATCAGCAACAATAACATATTTTCACCGTGTCACAAAAGAACACTGTTCAAACCAATATTCTGTGCCCTTTAATGGGAAGAGTCCCCTAGTTGCCAGCAAGCTTTCAGCTTTTTGACTCATTCTTTCTCCTTTCTCCTTCTCCCTTCTCAGTCGGCAGAGAACAAAACAAGCTAAAACTTCCAGGAAAGTGAATAAATGCACCCAGAGGGACATTAACATACGAGAATACTTGAGAACTCGTGAGTATTATGTGGATGAGTTCAACAAAAAGAAGAAAAAGCAACTCACCCATGAGACATTTAGTAAACTCTCGTGCTTGTTCCATATTTACATCAGACGTTTTTTGATGTTATAAACTTCACTCTGTGTTGTGTGCCGCTGCCACTGTGGGAGTGCATTTAAATATGGAGGAAATGCTTGTTTTCTTCATCCTCTTCCTTATATCAGTCACTTCCTTGTGACTTAGTCAGTCATTCCTTATGAGGATGTTTTGCTTTTTGCATGCTAGTAGCCTAGCTGTGCCCATTACTGCACCCGGTGATGTTTTGAACTGTTGTGATGTGCTCCCATCTGGTTTCCAGTGAAAATGCATCACTCCATTACCATTGCCTGTGATCTAGAGGATGCTTTAATCTAAGACTATAAACTCCACTTAATTACATCCTCCGAAGGAGCTCGATTAGTATAATGCAATCAAACGGGGAGCACATCCATTTTGGCAAGTCAAACATGCTCAGATGGCTCTTGAAAGTGTTTACCTTTGTCCTCTGATCAGATAAAAAAATAAATCGTATTTTGGAAGTTCTGTCCTCAAAATCCTTGATTGATACTTGTGTGTTTGTGGGCAAAAGGGAAAAAAAATGTTTTCAACATTTGGTTTCTTTGCAGCAAAACAACCATAGCTAATTAGTTTAAGAGAGTCAGACCCAACTCTGTGTGCGGTAACTGATGACTTTATGCTTGACCTTTTATGCATCTCTTTTATAACCTCCAGTCTTATTCATAATTGCTGCCTGTGCGTGTCATTCCAGTTTCCAATACAGTTTGGCAAGACTTTTCAATGCATTTCAACATCAAAATGAAGCAAGATGGGTGGTTTGAAATTGTTTACAAAGATGTTTCAGTAAAACACAAAATACCTGGCAGCGACTTTTGAAATCATGGCACAAAAAGGCTAATTTATTTTTGGTATCACAACTTATTTTTTTATTTTGGGGTCTGATGACAAACGTGTGCAGTTAAATCCTCGGTGAATGTCAAAGAAACTCCTATAGATATGAACATACTTAGAGAATATTCATATTTTATATGTGAGTTCTGCTCCAGTTGAGTCATGCAGAATAAAACCACCTGAGGATTGACTGTATTTGTGTTGATATGTCTTTTCTTGATTTATGAGGGTTATTTGATGAAATGTAGTAAAGTTTCTGCTGGTTCTGTTGCATTTAAATGTCAATGAAATGAATAAACTTTACATACCTTTGTGTCAGAGACTGAAAGCTGTTTTCCAGCTTGTCTGTCACTCCCATTTGTTAAGACATAATATCTCAGGAACACTTAGGGAGGATTTTATTACATCTGGCAGGAGCAATTTCTTGGATTTAAACTGATTACTGTTTGCTTGCCTAATGTCATTTGGACCTCTAAAAACGGGTGTAGGCTGTAACTAAAAACTTCAAAAGTTAGTCATACATTTTCACATGTATTCCTAACGTTAGAATACAACCAAATTACTTCTTCATTCCAAAACATTTTCCAGAGTTTTTCCAATTTCATAGCAATCAGTTTGGTCAAATGCTACATTTCTGATAGGATTTTGGTTCCTGGAAATTGTAATTTGACTTGCTCTTGTGTGACAATCATTTACTTAATAAAAATGTACAAACTGACCTTCTGTGTTTGGGTCCTCAAATCAGATAAAGAGCAGCTCAAAAATAACATCTTTAATTGCTGATTTAAGCACAGAACCACCAACAAATGGGTGGCAAATTCTGGAAAACACCCCGTGATCTAAGTGTGTTGCACTGTTTTCCCACAAAAAAGCTTTGTCAGCTCTTTGAGCATTGACTGTGCTTTTGTGCTATGAACCATGAAGAAAATATAGTAATACATATAAATCGTCATTAAAAGGAAATATGTGTTTTGCCTTAAGGATAAAATATTAAAATATTCCAAGGCAAGAAAAATAATTTTGTTTGTTTTTGTAAGCTTTTATTTTGTTTTGTTTCTATATCCGGTGCTAATGACGTATTTCCGCTCAGCTTTCTCAGGCCAGAATAACAATGGCGTCCTGTGACGAGGTTGGTATTTTGCTTATTTACTAAAGCTGATATATTTTAAGGTGATAACGACTCCGTTGATGTACACCTTTTTAGAAACGTGTTTCTCCTTCAGTTATTGTCAAAGCTTCATTCCTGTTGCATAAACTTCGTAGTTTTTTTACAAGCTGTTCCTCGTTAGCATGTGTGCTAACAAACAACATATCGGACTAACACCGTCGGTCATAAAATAGCATAAATGAGATTTTATTTCTTGTAAATTGTGTTAATTTGCTCTTTCATACAGGGAACCGCCACGGCTACTGAAGCAGAACCGGCCGAAACTTTGGCTTCCGAGAAGAGAGAAGCGAGACTTCGTAAATTCAGAGAGTTACATTTCAAACGGGTTGGTTGTTTTTCTACATATAAACAGTGTTGTGTGTAGTGATGGCATGCCTAACGATCACATAGCGACTGTATATTTTGTTGTGTTATAATAACTCGGAAAATAATATGAGCATTTCGGGATTAGATCATTGTAAAGTAGATTAACCTGCTTGTAAATATTTATTTATCTGTTCGTTTTTACTGCAGAACGAAGCACGAAAGCTGAATCAGCAGGAGGTTGTGGAGGAGGATAAGAGACTGAAACTTCCTGCCAACTGGGAAGCTAAAAAAGCCCGACTGGAGTGGGAAATTGCTGAGAGTGAAAAGAAGAAGGTATTTTTATTTTTTTGTTTGCCATCTGATTTATTGACCACACTAAATCCTTTTATCAAACCATTCTAAAAGAATAGCTTTTGTTTGAAAAGTCAAGCTTTTGTTATTGCTTTTATAATGTATTTAATCTTTTGTGTTGGGTTGCTTTATCCTGCATGGATTGGTCATCCCAGAGTTGGTCTATTTCTACATCTGCCTTGACTTATCAAAATAATGTCATGAAATCTGTACCATAAAAGTGTGTTTAATACACAAACATTAGTGAAATACCTAGATTAATTAAATAAAATGTAAGATTTAAAAGATATAAGAATGGTATTTCATGCTTTGATGGTTATTAAAAATTTCTTAAGGAATGTGCCGCCTCTGGCAAGGATTATGACAGAGTGAAGCTACTGGAAGTCACAGCTGATGAGGCTGAACGATGGGAGAGGAAGAAAAAGAAGAAGAATCCAGACCAGGGTTTTGCAGGTTTGTGGTTCAAGTTCAAAATATAAAGATGTAAAAATACATCTTTGGGTAATGGGTTCTAGGGCTGCTGTATTTTGACTGAAATTGAGATCTTGATTATTTAAGACCATCTTTAATTAATGCTGATAAGCAGCTACTGACAGCAAAACGGAGCTTTACAGTGCCAACATTTGTAATGTAAAAATAAATGGAAACATATAAACTTCTATGTTGTAGTGAAGTTTCACGACCTGTTGCTTAATAATCAGGTGCTGTAGGGGATTATGTACAGTACCCTAATACCATACCAGTTCATTTCTAAAGCACATTTAAAAATAGAGTGGCAGCTAACCGAAGTGCTGTACAGGAGAGCGAAAGACTAAAACACAGCAACAAAGACAGCATAGGAGTAAAATGTAAAGCTAAAAACACTTAACGCACATAAAAGCAAAGCATAAAATTAAAAGTTAACAAATAAAAGCACTAAGATAAGAGAGAAAAGAGAAACAAGTAAAAACTAACCGAGCAAGTTGAGCCCCCTTCAGACAGGCCATGAAAAACAGAAATGTTCAGGACTCTGTCCGTAAGACCTTTGTGTCTGAATACAAACATCCGGATAACGTTTTCCGTAATTAAACTGGACGATGCCCCTAGTAACAGGTCTGGACTTGTTACGGACAAGGTGGCTGCTTCATACTGGTGAGGTCAAGTTCCGGACAGGGAGGAGGGGACCGGGGGACGCTGTGCGCTCCTAGATAGCCCGCTCCTGTAGCATGCGGCAAACCATGGCAGCTCGCCTCCTACGGTACCGTCTAGACGCGCAACGGAGCACATCACACCGCTTCCGTGATTCCTTTAACCATTGAGCGCCATCATCCAGGGTCTTATGCGTCTTCGTGTGCGCAGAATTATGCTTAACATAAGTCCGGCGGTGTCTCAGTAGAAGTTATTTCAGAAATAATTTGTCAGAAAATTCACAGAATATCCAGATTTGAGAACCAAGACCAGACCCGCTTTGGGGGAGGAGACCAAATTGAAGCTGAGATGGGAGGAAAATGCATGAATGAGGCCAAAAATGGCTTCGGTGTGTTTCTTATGAGGAAATGACAATATAACATGGTAAAAAGTCCCAAAAGTTAGATTTTTAATTATATGGAAGCTTTACAAAAACTGTTCAATTAACTTCTCAACTCCATCCTCAATCTTGCATTTTAGATGATATTAGCTATAACACCCTCTTTGGTTCCAGAATGCTATTAAGTCTGACAACTGGAAGGAATTGGACTGACTCTGATGGAATGGGCGGGGCTGACTCTGGTGCAGCTCCACCTTTGTGGTTCTGCAGCGAGCACCACTTGTTTTATCTTAATAAAGCTAAGTTATGTTTCTACAAACAAAAACAATATCATTTAAGTTGCACATCTCTTGGTATTTCTAAAATTGCCAACAGAAGTTGATGTTTTTCCCCTCCGAAATGATCTAAACGGTTATTATATGGCGTGTTCTTTTCATCAGTTATATAAATGTTTTATGTAGGAGAAATCACTGGCTACTAACTTTGTCTCCTGCTCATATTTTATGGAATGGATTGACTTTAATGAGTCAAGATGGCTGTGGAGGTGTATTAGCATAAAGCCAGCATTAGCCACGGAGTGTCAGATCAGAACAGACAGAAAATAATACACTGGGGCAGTACAGCACATCTGGTAAACTTGAAAATGAAAGACACCTGCAGATTTCCAGTCACCTAACTTACTGAAGAAACAAACGTCATCTGTGACACTTCCTTTGTTAAAGTAACCCGAAAATAAACCAGAGCTTTTAGATGCATGCTTGCTTGTTTTGGTGCCAACAGACGGACAGACAGACGGGAACTTGCAACTCTCCGGTGATCTTGTGACCTTACATGACCAGCAGCGTGGAACGCATTTGCTGTTGATCAGAAACGCTCCTGATGGGAGAGGGATTAAAAAGCATCTATTATGTTACGCTCCCCATAGACATAGAAATGATGTTCCTTGACGGGGGCTTGATGGAAAATAATTAAGAAACACTGGTTTACTGTATGAAAATAAGAAAATGAACAGAGTAATTTGGTTGGTTAATCGATCGGATCAGTAAAAAGTGAATAAAACCTGCCATATTTAGAATGATCTTAGTGTTGAAGTTTTTCTAAACTCAACCTTTGACAGCATACAAATACCATCTGAGACAGACTCTGACTTCTGCTGTTATGATTTATTTAAATAATTATCAGATGATAATGAAGAATGAAATGGATTCACACGCGTGTTCCATCCACTCTGGAGCCTCAAGGATGCCATTCATTGATTACACAAGGCACCACCCAAATATTACATTTAACAATGAACTTACTGTGGCCCACTTGGGTTTGAAGTGCAGACACGTGACGGCAGTCATCTCTAGCTTCAGCTGATAAAGATCTCACCTGGTTGAACATTTTTGTGCCTTTAAAGATCCTTCACATCTAATGGAATTACCAAACCTTTCTCACACAGAAATAGCTGTCAGTTAATGCTTAAATTCACTTTAAAAGCCTTTTGTGAATGTTTTAGAAGAACCGGGAAGCGAACAGCAATTGGATCAAACCGCTTTATTTAGAGCGCTGGTACTCTTCGTCTCATGCCACAGAGCCTTTAAACACATTTACAAAACTGGGAACCGGGACACAGATTCTGTTCTTGATTTTGTTTCACTCTGTTCCAGCGTGTGATTGAGAAGTTTCCTAATTCTGTGTAACACAAAGATGAGGTGGAACTGCTTGAGCTTTACGTGGTAGCTGAGTAAAAGCAGCACAGCCTGCGTGTAAGAGCACGGCGGTTTCATTTAAAACAGCTTCTAAATTAATCTACTGAAGGAAAAGAGGTTGCTGTGTCTCCAGAATATGACTGCCATCTGTTGCTTCAAACCTTCCCTTGAATTTAATCTCTGGAAGAAAATGATCAGCTGAGGGGCTCGAAGAGTGGATGGGAGAAGGAGGGGTGCCTCCTCAGCCCTCCCTCACTAGCCGCAGGTCGTGCTGCTGAGCCTCATGCCTGCTTGTTGTTTGTTCCACTAATTAGAACCTTTTTATACTCCTCACAAAAACTACTGCAGGTTATGCCGAGGCCCAATTCCGACAGTACCAGAGACTCACCAAGCAAATCAGGCCTGACCTGGAAAGCTACAGCAAGCTACGGGATGAAAGGTGAGTAGAGGTGCTGTCTGAAGTCTAACATCTCTAGGAGTGACCACTTAGGTTGGGTAAATGGCCTGTATTTGATATAGCGCCTTCTAGAGTCCTGGAACCCCCCAAGGCGCTTTACAACACAATCAGTCATTCACCCATTCACACACACATTCACACACTGGTTGGGATGAGCTACAATGTAGCCACAGCTGCCCTGGGGCACACTGACAGAGGCGAGGCTGCCGAGCACTGGCGATGTATAAAAATTTCCCAAGTGATTTTCGCCAGTCCAGAAAAATGCCGATGGGCAACATGGCCGCACAGGTGACCTTTGGACGTTCCGTGGACCTGACGCACAGCACAGAACGACCCACCAATCACAATCGTTCTGACTCAGTTTGCGGATGATTGTTGTTTTCCGTTGGTCTTTTGATGCGTGAACAACAAACTATACAGCGATTGGTTCGAGCTACATGTGAGAATTGGGGGGCAGCACTTATGACCTGATGGTTTTGCCTCAGCTGAGGGTACTGGGTTCAGGAGATGTCACCATCCAAGGTTAGAAGCCAATACGAGGATACTAATGGGTGTTAATGAATGAACTCATGATGAGCAAGACTCATCTGAAGATGTTTTTATGTTGGATTGTGAAAGTATGACTTGTGGTAGATTTAATCGCCCAACCATAGTGACCTGAAAATGGATGCCCTGTGGTATGTTGAAATGTCTGAGTTGATCCATGAGACAAGTCTAGAGTTCAGACCAGAACTGTGAAATCTCGAATAGTAAAGTTAATCCAAAATGTTACCCTGACATCATCCAAGAATTCACTCATCACATGTCTGGGAAGCAATTAGTAAGTGTTCTGTCACGATGAGCCCTAATTTGCCCTGGGTTTTGTTTTGACGTAGTTTCATAATCAAGAATGAATCTAAAGACTTTGAAAGTGTAAAAGTGCTGCACACACGTGTTCAGGTCAAAGGGAACCCCACGCCCGAGAGGTTTATTACCCCTTTAAGAGCTGCTTCATGTCACAATCTGCCCTGAAGCTACACGCCCTTCCTCTTTTGGACTTTCACGATCACAAAGATGGGATAGAGAAGCCTGGAGAAATGGTGATTATCTTGAGTTAAGTATGTCTAATGCTTTTGCTGGTGCTCCACAGCGGTGAGGACTTCTACCCCACAACGAATAGCCTGATCTATGGGACCCATACCCCATCAAAGGAGGGCATTGACCGCATGGTGGAAGACGTGGAGAAACAGTAAGTCACATTCAGCAGAGCTTCATAAAAGAGGTCCTTCTCTTTTTTGACCCTCTCTCCATTTGAGCTTGGTTCTGGCCAGCCCATCCAGCACCACTCTGACTGGGCAGATTCCTCATTGGGACTGGTGTTTTCTACCGGCTTGGACCATAAGCTAAAAGCAGACGATGAAGCTTGTAGAATGTTTCTATGATTTCATCCATTTTTAAACCGTTTAACAAAGGAGAGGGTGGTTTTCAGCAGTGTTTAACCTCAATCTTTTTAGTTATTATTGGTTTTGGCAATCCAAACAACCCTTCCTTTTCAACTTTCGCAGAATGACAGACACTTTTCTAACATTGGCACACCACAAACACGGTGTGGAGATGCTCTTAAGTGTCAGCCATGTGAGGCTGTCTCAGTGGGTGAGCCAGGCCTGTCTAATTTGAGAAAAATCAACTCCAGGGTACGAGTCTTGATGCAAGCAGACAGTTGGCTTTAAAATGAATGGGGTGAGGCTTTGGCAGCTTATACCACTGGTCCTAGTCGGGGCATGAACCTTGGTCAGACCACAGGTCAAACAAATGATTACCAGAAATGCTTTATAAAGTGTTTAAGTGGCTGTGGTAGATAGTTTAGCAAACCTCCAGTCATGTGATAGTGTTTTGTTTTGAGAAGCAATTTGTAATAACATGCATTTGCTTTAGTGTTTTTTTTTTTTGTTTACATCACAAGCAACAGGACTACAGCTCTGCCTTAAGCGTCTAGTCTGATCCATTGATCGTTTTAGCCTTTGATCGGCAGTCGTTCCCTGAGCTGTTCAGTATTTGAGAAGTTTCAGGCCTGTGCTGGAGATGCGACTGTTGAGCATTAACAAGGATTTAGTTGCCAGAGTGTGACGCAGACTAATCCTTTGAAGACAGTCGGACAGTGTGTATATGTGTCTTAGGTTTTCCATTGTCACTCTCCTCTGCCAAGCTTTAAACACGTGCCCCCAAATTAGTGCCTGTAGCCAATTATTGTTATTGGATATGCCACGATGATCAGTGGCCATACTGGTTTTTAGAAAAATCCTCCATGAGTCGTCTTTCCTTGCAATTGTCAGGATCGAGAAGCGTGCCAAGTACAGCCGGCGCAGAGCCTACAACGACGACGCAGACATCGACTACATCAACGAGAGGAATGCCAAGTTCAACAAGAAGGCGGAGCGCTTCTATGGCAAATACACAGCCGAGATCAAACAGAACTTGGAGAGAGGAACGGCCGTCTAGTCTAGTCGTCTTTGCCATAACTTTTCTGTTTTTGTTGCTTATTTTTACGAGCTAATGTTGAAGTGCGCTTCCTCAGAAAGCTTTTGTATCATGCTGCCGTTCTCTAAGAAATGTCGCGTTTAGTAATCTTTTGTACAGTATAATTACTCTGGTGTGTATTTTAAAATAAATTGTTTCTAATTATTCACTTACCTTGCTTAATTCATGATTTTTTCCTAAGGATTTACTGCATGTGGTCTTATGGAGTCTGTGAAGGAACTACCGTTAACTAGCATCAGGCCGCTGGGCCTTTAAAACAGGATGTCAGCCAAGAGATGTTTGGGATAGGTGCAGAGAGAGATAAGGACCATCACTGGAGTAATTTATCGTCTCCATCTCTGTACTAACTTGCTCAGGGCTGTGACATGACCAGGAAAACATTGTGACTGGCTCTGAGAGGAGCTTACAGGTTCCCATGGTCTGTGACTCAGGTCCTGTGAATGCAGTGGCACAGCGCCCTCTGCAGGGCCGCTGTGGGTCCTGATCTGATGAATCGCTCCACTGAATGACTTTTATTAATGCTTATCTGTAAGATTTGATCTCGGTGAGTTTATGAGATTTTGTTCAAAGATTCCCTGGTTTTTCCGAGTATCTTCGCCGCTTTGATGCAGTTAAATTAGGAACTGGCATTTTTGAAGTTTTATCTGATGATTTGTTTGATGCGTAACAGATCTATAAATCTTTAGTCTGATGCTTTTAAAGCCAAAGTGCCTGGTTAAGCTAAGTTGATTTGATGTAAAGCTTGTAAACATGAGATGCTTTACAGAAAATATGTAAGATTCAACTAAACTTTAAATGTTTTTGGTTAAACATCATGGACATCCTTGAGTCTCGTACGTAAATCAATCATTAAAAATCTGCAATCGAAGTAATCGGTCTCAGGTTACAGCAGGAGACACCTAGTCTGGCAGCATGATATTCCATCTGCAATTCCTCCTTTAATATTGTGACGGTGGTCTGAAAATTCCTTTGATTTGTTGCCACTTGGTTACTCTTCAGCAATAATTCACCTGAAATGTGAACGGGCCAAGATGCTGCCAATGTTGAGCTGTAGGGCTGGTTGCAAAGCCACAACAGCAGAAACAGGACTGCCTCTAGATAACGACATGGTAACAAATGTAATTAGCAAAAGCTGCTTTGGTACAATTCTATATTACATTGTGACCCTTTGGATTGGATTTAAATTCCTCATCTGAACAAGTCCTTGAATCTTTAAAATAATCAGCCAATCCGGTTTACCAATGTTTGTGGTCAACTCAAGACTGCAACTCTTGGCTTATCTGTGGAATTTGCGTTTTAACACCTTTACAGTGGTCTCCAGTTTAAACACATGATGTGGGGGAAATCCCTGGGTGCTCTACAGCGCTGATGTTTACAATTGCTATCGCTAAGAGCTTCTACATGCTGGGATGTCTACTGGACACCAAAAATACCTTCCCTGTTGTGGCCCAAGACATTTGAAATGCTTAAGTCACTCGTTTTCTAAGTTTCCCTTCAAATGTTCTATATCCATGACTATTGGAAGAGGTAGAAGACGTTTCATGTTCACCTGTCCTTAAGTGTGGGTTGTCATTCTCATTTCCTAGTGAACTTACCTTTTAGATTTAGCACAGACTTGATAAACTAAATACAGACCTCATGTAAATTTTGGGTACATAAAGAAAAAAGAAAGACTTAGGTACACTTGAACAAGTCTTTATTGATCTATAAATTACCACAAACACAGAAGAAAGAAAACAATCCCACCTGAATACTTCATTGTTTTCCACTTAAATCTTTAACATCTGAAAGAAAATGACCACAATGACCATATGTACAAACTATTTACAGTATTCACAGTGTCCATGTACCCTGTGCCACACTAAAGTGACCAGTTTAGTTAGTGTGAACTGGAGTTTCGGCCTGAACTGATGGGAATCCAGTGGCCGTAGGGCTTCCTGCTTGCAATGCTGTCGACTTTGAGCGTTACCTTAGCGGTGGATGGAGCGACAATCGTTGGTTTGGCCACGAAATTCTAAAAAAGACACAAAATTAGTTAGCAGATTACTAGCTTTTCAAATCCACTTATAACCTAACATTTGTAATCACTTACGTTCTCACTGAAGGCTATTTTTCTTTTGGGAGATGTCACTGGACTCGACACACCTGGCTCTGGCTCATTCTCCTGTTTCTTAAAAAAAAATAAAAATAACAAGTTAATTACAAGCAAGGGGCAGAACAGTGAGCTTCATTTTGAAGCTTTTTACTGTTCATTACTGATATGAAGCTTTACTGTGATTTAAGAAATAAATCTTAAAGATGTTACTTTAATGCAGATCCTCCCACAAATAGTCTTAGGAGGACAGACCTTGAAGCAGACATTGTTTTTAAGAGTGGAATAATGACGGAGACGCAGGTACCCCAACCCCTTAGCACACATTCTGTGTACCAACTTATCTTTGACATATGGAGAGTGGTTCTTGACAGGAATAGTCACTATAATGCAGTCCACACACCTGTGATCCATCAGCGAGTGGCAGACTCTGCTAAATAACAATAACCCATTTCATCTGCAAGCATAAATACATTTGTAATGTCAAATAGTCTACAGCCTGTCCGAATATGAGCTAAGCTTTTATGTGTGTAATTTAGTCTATGCACACAATGCTAACATTACACAACTTGATTGCCTACTAACATGTCAGGAGTTATCAACTAACATTTGAACGCAAACAAACATTGTCACCCAAGTCACATGACAGCCCTTTATTCCCAGGTGCCGATGAGTGAAGGAGACCAGTGTCATGTAATCTATGAAGACAGGAATAAATAGAGAGCAGGTTCCCTCAAGGGTCCAAATATGACAGGAAATGCAATACAGGACAGACCTCTGCTAAGCAGTAAATTGCTTGTTGCAAGTTTGAAGAAACTGACTAGAGTCCATAAAATCAGTAAACGATCTAGTATTCTGCTAACTCTCTGGTTACCCACCTCTGACAGCCTCTGGATGCTCTCCTTTGCCCTCAACCCTGGCTCTGGCAATGATCTGTTGGGCTCGGGCTCGTCTTTAAGGATTGGCTTCACACTTTCAGGAAGGTCCAGCTTCTCCACTCCAAACAGCCTCATGGCGTTGGTCTGAGCAGCTTCTAAGAGTGCCCTTTTATCTGAACAGAAGTTATAGAAAGTTAGTTATCTGAATTTGCAGATAAGACTTGAGAAGTCAAATAACTGATCATTACCATGCAAGCTCAAGCTGACGGATCGTTCAGTGGATCTGGACCTCGATCGCCGCCTGTAGGTCCTGGAGGGTGGGGAGAAACTGCATCTAAACTGACTCGCAGGTCTCCTGTATCGGTCCCAGCGCAGGGGAGACCTGGAACGGGACCTGTAGTGTCTCCGATGACGAGAGTACCTATCTGGAGAGGGTGAGCGGCTGTAGGAGGGGGAGTAAGCCCGGTAGCGGCGAGGTGGGGAGCGGCTGAATGAGCGAGAGTGGGCCCTGTAGCGGCGAGGTGGAGAGCGGCTGAATGAGCGAGAGTGGGCCCTGTAGCGGCGAGGTGGGGTGCGGCCACGGCCTCCATGGTCATCACAGCGGCAGCGTGAGGTCCTCCGGTGGCAGCGGGGGTAGGACCGAGACCTGGAGCGAGAAGAGGACGAGCTCGAAGAAGATGACGAAGAGCAGGAGGAAGACCTGTATCGTGTCCGGTTCTCGGGACCCTTGTAGCTGGAGCCGGTGGAACGGCTGCTGGCACTACTGCAGACAGAGCGTGAGCGCGAGCGGGACGATCCAGGACTTTTCTGGTCGAAAATCACGTTGAGCCCATCGGTCTGGCGAGCGTGAGCCATTTCAGAGTTGGAGTCCACGTGCTTGGCCATGGTTCAGATTTCTGCCTAGGGCTGAAAAGAAAAAAAAATCAGATTATACAGATATTCTACTCGTTTCCTGCTTTTTTTCTTATCGACCTTTATGTAACCACCCTTCTCGCTGCTGCCCCTAGCGGCCACTGCATTGTTACGTAACTCGAGGAAATTTCTAGAATTATGTAGGCCGAAAACAACGATGCCTCTAACTCTGTAAACATCTCATTACGCTTACTACAACTAGCACAATTTGACTAAAACAATATAGTTAATTCCCATTAAACGACAAAATTGTGAACCGTTTGAGCAAAACTGGGTATAAATGAGATTTCTTACCAGGTCAACCGTGGCTTGAAACTCCTCTTTCAAAAACGTCGGAAGAAACTACGAGCGCGTAAAAATACCTCAAAACGTGTATTACACCACAGTGGGTATCTATTAAAGTTCACGAATTTTCAGATTTGTTGACTTGTAGCGAGTTAAGTCGAAGAAACCTACACCGTTCAGATGTCGTCACACGAATGACCGAGACCGTTGTAGAAACGGGTTTTAAGCAGCGGCAGCTTCTGGAAATTTCCATCCATGGGCGGTCCCAACCTATTCACTTCTTTTGACCGGATCGTTCTCGAGACTCTGTTCAGGTGAACAAAAATCGTTTCAAAGAAATTTAAATACGTTTATTTTCTTTTATGTCTCAATTAGGTGGATTTTTTGTCGCGGATAAAGGAGGATTAGAGACGTTACTGGGTTGAAAGAAAGTAATTCAAACTTTCGGTTTTAGTTCAAAGAACCGATTCATTTAGAACAATCCTCCCAAGATGTCCAAAAGTCCCACAAATGCGGAAAAAAGAAAAAGCGCTTTGAAAAGAATAATAAAAAAAGAAACAAAACCCTGCAATAACACACATTATAGCCTAGTACTATTAAGATTAGCATGTAGGGTAATTAAAAGTAATAATTATACCATATAAATATTCACATAGAAATTAATGTAACTTGTCCCTTAACATTTTCCACATGGACATTTTTCATGGACATTTTTCATTAAATGCTGATAGTAATGAAACTTAATTTTGTGCAGTGCATCGACATATACATATAGGTGCAGTGTGGAGAAAGCATCACGGCTCCATAGAGGTTGAAGACCCATTCATATATCCAGACTGTGCCAAAACGAAGGTCAATTCTTTTAAACTGGAATAAAATGAAACAAAATTGTACAGTTGAATTTCTTTTATTTGTTCATTTGATGTGCCTTTATTGTGAAAACCTATTGTATAATGTTAAAATAAATTATTTTAATTTCATAATACTAGAGCTTATATTTTATGAGCTTGCTATTCCATTAGCTGTACTTATTAATTTTTCAGTTAGTACCTTTAGCATGGAAATGTACTTTCCATACTTTACTTTTTCCTTTGTTTAATCAATGAATCAATCAATCAATCAAAGCTTTATTTATAAAGCGCCTTCCGCAACCCTGTCAGGAAGCCCAAAGCGCTGAACATGGTTCAGTTGAAGGTAAATATATTGAAAAAATCAAAAATAAAAGCAATTCAAATTACAAAATAGGTGAAACATTCTGGTACAAGACAAATGTGTAAAACAATGGATTGAGTGAACCAATGAAAACTGTGAAATAAATTTAACACAAAAGAGGGTCAAAATCAAACATGTTCTGGAAACGCCAAGCGGAGGAGGTGTGTTTTTAGGTGACTCTTAAAGACTGGCAGAGATGGGGACAGCCTAACTGAGGGTGGCAACTGGTTCCAGAGTAACGGTGCTAGGACTGAGAAAGCCCAGTCCCCACGGGTACGACACCTAGAACGAGGGACAGCGAGCAGGCCTTGGTCAGAGGAGCGCAGAGCGCGTGATGGGTAGTGTCTGTTCAGGAGTGTGGCTAGATAGGGGGGACCACCACCCTGGAAGAAATGATAAACAAAGACGAGGATTTTGAATTGTGAGCGATAGCAAACCGGAAGCCAGTGCAGGGAGGCCAGAACCGGACTGATGTGGTCCCGTTTCCTGGTCCCAGTCAGGAACCTGGCTGCGCTGTTCTGCACAACCTGTAGGCGACACAGTCATGACTGACACAACCCTGCATAGAGAGAGTTGCAGTAGTCAAGCCTAGAAATTACAAAGGCATGCAGTACCCACTCCAGGTGGGCTCTCGACAGCATATGCTTGATTTTTGCAATGCGTCTCAGGTGAAAGAAACTGGAGGAGGGAGGAGATGCTTGTGATCTCAACAATTATAGACATAGAGCAATAATAAATTCTGTTGTTAAAATATTTGAAAAGATTGTTTTCAATCAATTGTATAGCTAATTAGGAATTAATAATGTGCTTTCTCCATTTGATTCAGGAACATTTCTCTTCTATTACAGCTTTGACTAAATTCACAATTTTTCAAGGTTTTGATGAGAGTCTACACTCTGATGCAATTTTCTTGGATTTTACTAAAGCCTTCGATCTAGTGGATCATTATTTGATCTTGGATAAGTTAAATGTGATTGGTTTCTCTAGATCCTCATTACTTTGGTTCAACTCATATCTCCACCATTGTTTTCAATATGTCTCACTAAAAGGAGCTCAGTCTAAACTACGAGAAATTTGTAGGGGTGTTCCTCTAGGATATTTGCTTGTGCATCTGTACGCTGACGATACCATATTATTGTTCCAAGTCCACCACAGTGGAAATTCAGGAGTGCCTTCAGTCTAATTTTGATAGCTTGCAGCACTGGCTTAACAATAACAGACGTATCCTTAACAAATCTAAATCTTATGCACTTCTTTTCAGAGACATAAGTCTGCTCCAGTCATTAACTCTCAACTTACACTTTTTGGACTCTTGGCGTTTAAAATGTGTTGACAAAGTTAAATATTTAGGAGTTTGGTTTGAATCTGATCTTTTTTTTAAAGCTCACATTCAGTCAGTCACTAGTAAGGTTATAATAAATGGTTATATCAAGGTAGTAACGTTATATCAATCAATTAATTGCTTTGATTTTAGAGTGAGAAATCATATTGTGACTCAGCTGTTGTTTCCAATCCTCGATTACGCAGATACAAATTACCAATAAGAAGAGGGAGGATCAGACAAACAGACACACAGCAGAGCACATGCGGGAGGAGAGAGACGAGAGGGAATGAGGAGGAAAAAGGCGAGCAAGAGAGAGGAGAGTGCGGCGAAGACCGTGAGTAAATGAGCGACAGCAGTCGGAAAGTTGAGAATTTCTTAGTGTTCAGTTAATCAATCCATATAAATGATAAATATTTGATATATTGCATTTTTTTACATTATACATAATCATTTTACATATCGTTTTGCATTATTTTCTGTGGTAAATGTACTTTGCGCCACAGAAAATCTGAGGAGCCACTTGGGAGCCGAAAGAGCAGGCCCTTTTTGGTGAGCTGAGCCAAAAGAACCAGCTCTCTAAAAAGAGCCGGAATTCCCATCACTAACTCACTCATATAAGGGCATCTCGCGATGTTTGATGCAAAAAAAATCCACTGAAGAACATCTCGCGATATTTCCTCAAACATCTTGTTTACTATCGCTTCCTTCTGGTTATAAAATCGCCGAACGCTCCCGCCCTAGTCCACAACGAACCGGAAAACTAGCCAGACGCTTGTACGCGGGCCACATTCTGCTCAAAGATGGACATCTTGACCCTGTTACCGTCCAGCTTTGGATATGTGATCTTTACTTACCTCTACAGCTGGGTTATGCTGGCCTATCTAGCTGTAAAAGTTGGTGGCGCGAGGAAAAAGTACAACGTTAAGGTAATTGCGCAATCTGCTCTGAAAAGTACACAGTAGAAATGCATGCAGAGTAAACCCTTTTGCTTATAAACTATTTTAAATTTGTGTATTTTCAGTATCCCACAATGTACAGCGACAAAGAGCAGGTGTTCAACTGTATCCAGAGAGCCCATCAGAACACATTAGAGGTGTACCCTCAATGGCTGGTGTTCCAGACTATCGCAGCACTCGTTTATCCGGTAATTTATGGTCATTCATGCATTCATAAACGATGTTTCACCTCTGGTGCAACAGTACTGCGAGTGAATACTACTCATGAGAGAGGTGGAGAAACTACTGGTGACCTTTGACTTAGGTCTCTTGATAGGAGACTCTAAAACGCAGAGTCATCGTGACTTGGCACATTCTCAGCAAGCAACACCAGTTCTTTTTCATCCAATTTCTCTTAATTTATGTGTTTTTTACAGTTGTCTGCATCTGTGCTTGGTGCTATTTGGGTGACCAGCAGGTTTTCCTATGCATGGGGCTACTACACAGGAGGTGAGTTTTACACTCACTATGCACGTTTATTTGAAAAATATAAGGTTGCAACAGTACTAATTTTTGTTGTTGTATGGTATAATTTTGCTCAAATTCTACTCATCTGTTGCATGTTGTTCAATGCCCACACATCCCAGAGGTCAGTTCTGTGACTAAGTACAATTGTTGCTCCACACCTAGTTAGTTTAATGATTGACAAAAATAGGAGGAAGATCACACACATCAATTAGTCTCTTGTTAGATTAAGTTGTTATTTCTTATTGCAACAGGTTATCCTTTTGTTTCCTAGTATTTAACAGTCATGTTTTTCTGTTTGCTTTTCTTTCTTCCAGATCCTGCCAAGAGGATGAATGGGGTCTATGGCTACATCGGATTCTTTGGCGTCATCCTTCTGTCCATATATGTTGCTCTGCAGCTGCTCGGGGTTGTTTAAAATAATCATGGGCTTGAGTTTGTCCATCTTCAATGAGTTAATTGGTTCTAAACTGGCTATCGTGGCAGCAGAAAAGTCCCCAAACATTTTATAGGCCACTAAATTGAGATTGTAGCCTTTATATAACTGTGAATTTGTACTTTATGTACTCAATAATGGGAACAATAATCAGTTAAGTAGATGACTGATCCTGTAGCCTCAAATGATTATTTCTTTTGTAATCTCTTCACACTATTTGCATGTCAGGTTATTAACACAAGAAGACTCCACATGACCGTAAAATAAGTAGAGCAAGACTTGTTCTTTTTGGAATACTCTGAAAATGTTATATTTTCCAGTGAATGTTGGTATTTTTTTATATACTCAGAAGTCATGATTAATAAAATCGGAATAAATATCTGAAATGGTTTCATTGATTTTTTTTGGGGGGGGGGTGGGGGGGGATAAATCATGTAAGTCTTGATTGTAGTGTCACAAAACAACAGTGGATGATTGTACTTAAAGTAACCAAATAGTAAATATTGAATCAATTGTGCTAATTTTTGAAGCATTTTGTCTGGGGAAAAATTGAAAGGGAATTAATGTAATTTGACATTAGGACACGTCGAAAATATGTTGTGACTTAAAATTAATCTACTTAACTGTTCTTACTCAAATCATAAATATCCTGTATTAATTACAGTACGTGCATTTTTTTGTTGTCTAGTTCTCTGTTGCTGTAAATACGTGACATGTTTGACATCTAATTTCCTCACGTCAAATATTTTAAATTCACAATAAAACCTTCAAGTCAGGATAAATATTTTCTTGATAACACAAATTTCTGATTTTATATCGAGCACTGGAAGGCAACATTTTCATCAAAGGTTTTCTATCAAAAGGGTGTGGGGCCAACTGCGCATGTGTGAGCCAGCTCGGAAGCCAAGTCGGGTTTTAACCAAAGGGTTTACATCAAAAACTGAACGTAAAAAGGTAAATTAGCCTTTGAAAGTTACTCTAAGCGTGACGTTTACGTTAATGTGCTGGTTTCTGTTTGTTATTCCCGCTGTCAGTCTTGGTTATGAGGTTATTTTTACGACTTTGTAACAAGAAACCTTCAAGGAAATGCTTGCTAGCGTCGAAGCGATTAACAAAAGAGCCCGACGGCAGAGGCGTTTTTACATAAAAACGACATTTTCTACCATATTTAACTTCTCACGATCACTATTTTAGAGTAAGACAGATGTAACCGATCTATAGGTTCAGGGTAGAAATCTTGAGTTTCATTACTGCTGTCGGGGCATGCGAGCGAAAGATTTAGCATCATCCTGTTCGGCGACTGCGCAGTGTTTGCAGATTAGAGCGAAATGACACAACGCAGTTTGTGCTTCTGTGATCGAGGCGACTTATTATCCCAGTTTTGCTTAATTTGTCTGTTTTTATCTGGACCTTTTGCCAGAAACATGTCAGGATTTCTGGACGGAATCCGCTGCGGAGACTGTGAATGCAACGTTGACTGGGGAGAAAGGAGGAACACCATCGCATCTATAGCTGCAGGAGTTCTGGTATTCACACGGATTTCCCACTTCACATTAACAATACACTTATTCTAATTAACACTGTTGATGCACTGACCCTTAAAGTGTCACTTGTCGATAAAGTCCCTGGCTTATTCAGGTAAAAGTGGATCCTTGTCCTTCCAGTTCTTCACAGGTTGGTGGATCATCATTGACGCAGCAGTGAAATATCCAGATGAGGTGCAGTTTCATCACGCTTACCACACATGTGGAGTTATAGCCACAGTGGCCTTTCTCATGTAAGAACGGCTCTTCTATGAATTATGCACCTTTAAGGACACATTAAGAGTTTCAGAAGCTGCTTTTGTCACGTGGTTTGTCTGGAGTCTTCATCATGTGATGAGTGAGTGTGAGGTTTCCCTTTTTTTCAGTAGCATCTCTAGTTTAAATAGCTTTGACTCTTCATGAGCAGTTGTTTATGAAAGCTATGCGAAATCATCTAGGAAGAAAGACGACGAAAAAGGAAAATACGAGGGGTGGGACTGGATTTAAAAAAATCTAATTAATTAGAGGCTTTGTAATTAATCTTAATTAATCACATTCAGATGTCACTGTGTGATATGAAACAAGACCCAAATCAACTAAAACGTTTAATTACAAATAGAAAACACCTGCAAAGAGTTCCTGAGCCTTTATATTGTCTCTCTGTCTAGTTGAATTACTGAAAGAAATGGACTTTGCACCAGATTCAAAATTTTCCAGTTTCACTTATAACAAGTCGCTGAACATCGCATGCGCTGAACATGTGTTTATTTTAGCATTTCTTCTCATAATGTAGTAAAAACATAAAAATGTATAAAAATCCATAAAAATGACAGTAGAACAGGCACAAATTTGATCTAGGACTGAGATGCACTAACTTTGAACACCAGAGCAGGTGTGACTTATTCTGAGAATAATCAGGAACTAACTGGTTCCAGTTGGAAGACTGGAGGATGATAGGAGGATAAAAGATCTTGACGAGGAATTAATGAGCTGACGAACAGGTGAGTGGACCTTCCTTACATGGGAAGTCCCGCTGTCACGTCAAGAAGGGGATGGCTGCAGACCCGCAGGTTCACGCCTGCAGCAGCAAATCTGGTGTGATCTCCAGCGTGAACACAAACGTTCTCGTTCCTCGCTGCCCCTGATGTGCTTAAACATCCGCCCCTTTAGCTCCCGATCAACTGACGACTGCTTCAACATACCTCGCTGCTGAACGATAGCAACGCATGCGATGTTTGGACAGTCACTTGTCTCAGAAGCATGATAAACCAACAGAATTGTTTAGAAAATGATCTGAGAGATTGTTTGTGATTGTTTACAGAGTAGTGAGAGCACGGAGCATTTTCCCAGCTGCAGCCAGGTCTCTCTCTTTTGTCTGACTACTTTCATAAGCTACTGATTATTCTGTCTGGAGCTTTCAGCGCTGCACAAATGTTACATAAACATCAAAAATATAGCTTACCTCGACTTTTGTGAAGCTTCTGGTGCCACCGCGCAGCTGCAAGAGAGACGATCTCTGAAAAATGTCTGTGACACGGACTGCGTAGTTTTCTGGAAGGTTATTTATTTATTTACAATTTAAGAAAAGAGGCAAAAGTGTTTCCTAAATCCTGCATCAGTCCAAGAAAGGCAATTTCTTTCCGTTTTTATTCTGTTTTAGTAGCCATTAACAGAGCACTGTGTTGTGTGCGTCAGTGATATTCGATCTACGAGGAAATCATGCAGTGACAAAGGTTCCGCCTTGCTTGACATGCAAGCTGTGATTGTTTTTTATTTTTATGCATAATTCTTTTCTAATTAATCATAATTAACGCATTAAAGTCCCACCCCTTTGAAAATACATGTTTAAAAAGTTAAAACACGGTGAAAACCATAGATTTACATGTGAAATGACGCACATATATCAATCAGATTTATTTATAAAGCGCTTTTCAAACAAAGTGCTACTCAGAGTGCTTTACAGAATGACCCCAGATTCCCATAACAGGTTAAAAACATTAACGGACATATGCAAGCACACACACACACACGCACGCATGCACGCACACACACACACATGTAAAAATTATATTTGGCTGAGTTCAGGTAAGGCAAGGAAACACCATCAGAGGAGCCATCTGCCCCGGCAGCATCAGGTCTTCCACACCAAGTCAGGGCGCTCAGTGGAGGGGGAGCATAGACCCCCACCTATAGAGCGCCCAGGAAGCTACAGTCACACTCATACCCAGTCAGACACACATTACTTCAATTAGACCTGCACAAAAAGCGGAGACAATCCTCATCAAACCTCCTCGTTCCCAATGAAAAGGACTCATCGATGTACCTTCCAGTCACCCCACAAACCTGCGCACACTGACGGGACACTTTTTTGGGATTTATCCTGGGATTTTATTATCACATGCCAAAATTAGCATGCTACAGCAGAGAAGAAGAAGAAAATATCATTTCTATAGCGCCTCTCAAGATAAAAATCATGAGGCGCTTCAAAAAAACAAAACATAAAAAAAATGTAAAAATATAAAAAAGCATTTAGAAAATGTTTAAAAATATATTTAAAATGAGCAAAAATAAGCAATTGCGATTTAAAAGAAAAAATGTTAAGAAAGAGAGCGAGTGAATAGGAAAGAGGGAAATCAGTGGAAAACACACCTTGGTGGCTCGATCTCCAGTTCCAACAGAACGCAACATGACAAGGATTTTATTTTGTGTCTGAAGGGGAAAATATGTTTAGAATAAATGACATTAAATGTGTTTGGATTTTGCCCTTACTTTAAGGTCTATGAAATACAAAAATCTCAAATGAAACGATGCATTTTTAAATTCTTCTGCTTGAAGGATAAATGCCGTCTCAAATGGCCAGGTGAGAGGGGACAGCTATAGCGAAGGCTGCCTGGGACAGATAGGTGTGTATTAACGGGTTTTTATTCACTTAGTTACCCTCCAAATCATATCTATTTGTTTTTCATTTGTCGAATAACGTTTTTATCTTTACAACTTCAGCGGTAAGTGAGTACAGAGTAACCACCCTTCCTTATCTCTGCCTGCAGGCGCCAGAGTCTGGCTCTTTATCGGCTTCATGCTAGCTTTCGGCTCCCTCATCGCCTCCATGTGGATTCTCTTTGGAGGATTCGTCGTGCCTGGTGAGTTCACTTTAGTTCTTCCTTGGTGCTCAGCGTTTAGTTTGGTTTGGAAAACAAAACATTGTAAAGGTTTGTAACCTTAATGCATTTGTTAACTTCCAGGGAAGGAATTTGTGTACCCTGGTATTGCCATTTTCTTCCAAAATGCATTCATTTTCTTTGGGTAAGTTGATCTTCGTTTCGTCTCCTGGATATGACTCGGCAGAAATAAGGAAATGGTGCTCATGTTTTTCTTCTTTACTCCTTTTTAGGGGTTTGGTCTTCAAGTTTGGGCGCACGGAGGATCTCTGGCAGTAACAGTCTGTGTGTCTTCACGTCCACGGGGTTACATTCTGCTTTCCGTACTGTTTCAGACTCCAGCGGTTATTCACTTTATATATGTATGTAAACATTTTTTTAGCTTTTCCCTTTGTAAGTTGTCATTTGCTGTAAATGCGCTAAAGCACAAGATTTCAAAGGTTCTTTGGAAGTTTAAACATTTTCAAATGTGGCACGTCTTCACTTGTGTCGGTTTGCACTCAGACTGTCGCCAAGTTGTTAAAATAGTTTACGACTTGTGTATAACAGAATTTATGTACCGGAGCTTTACTATCACTTTCCCTTGGAGTAAACTTACCTCTGTAATTCAAAATGCTTTGTAATTTAAACTTTGACTGTTAATATGGTGACTATTGAGAATTAACAGCATCCGTTTGTAAAAAAAAAAAAAAAAAATCTAGTTAAACAGGGGTTCTTTGTTTTATTATTGTAACACTATCTGCTCTCAGATAATTTGGTTTTATTGGGGAATTTTACAAAGCCACACTACAGATCCACTCAACCAATGGATTCTCAAAAATAGGGTTTTAATTTGCTTCAACAGGTTTGCAGGAGCATCTGTTCATTCTAGTGTCACATCTGTCCGTTTCTGACATTTGCATCATTAAACAGAAATATGCAAATGATCAGTTAATGGGTGTCATTCGTCTTTCCACAAAACTGCACAGATTATTTGTTTGGCACAAACACATCTGATGACTACACGTCGTAAAAGCAAGAACTGTGAAGTTAAATGCATTGATGAAGATAAACTACAATGGCAAATCTGCTAAACAAGCTAGCTTAAAACAACATTTTAACACCGTATAGCTATAAATGTATGTGGGAGATTAAAAAATAACGAACTGATTCTCTTGCATTTGTGCATCGCATCCGGTTGTCGGTCTTGCCAATTCACCGCACTTCCCTGGGTCCTCCGTTCATTATGCGCTCACGTATTTGGCAACAGAACACCACTGGTGTGAGAGGTTCTCCGTTCAGTATCAGGAGAAACAGCCGGCTACTACCACTTCAACTTTGGGACAAACTACCAGAGTCCCAAAAAATAGATACATTTGAAGTCACGGACAACAAAAGAGGTTATGATCTGGAAAACGACAACTGGTGTTTAGCACTTCGTTGTTTCCTGTGTTAATGTGGGTTCCCATATCAGGCCTATAGGTAGCCTAAGTCACGCACCACGGGTCCCCGGAAGAACGAAAAACTGAACGCAAGTCAACGGGGCTAAAAACACTTTTTTCTAATCCGCTTGTTTTGTGCCATGGATTTCTCATATGATGTCCGTGAATTTTTAAGTCGCATTTTGATACAAAGAACGCGCTTATTCTCGAACAGGGGGATCGCTGGACCACAAATGCGTCATCGAATCAGACACGGAGAAAACTGAGGGAAAATGGCTGTAAGTTCAGCAAACTTCCCACAGGATGAAAGAACCACCATAAATCTGGTCATGTGGTAAGTAGCAGCTACGCTAGGGGAGAGGAGATTATGTAGTGACATCATATATGCGACGTGCCGATTTCTAGTTTGTAGTGCTAATTATGAACTTTTACAAGCTGATAAATCTCAAAGTATGTGACTGGTGTGGTCAACACCCGTCATTACTTTTTATTTAAAGTTTGAGTACAACGTGTGTGCGATCCAGGGCGTAAGACAAAGCGGATTAGAAAATAACGTTTTTAGCCCCGTTGACTTGCTTTCATTTTTTCGTTCTTCTGGGGACCCGTGATGCGGAAGTGACTAAAGCTCCCTATAGGGAGGATAGCCGGCAGGAGGGGTGAGAGATCTGCGGCTGTTTAAAGCTAGCTTGTTTTGCAGATTTACCATTGCAGGTAAATCTGAAATTCTCTGGACTCCAGGACAGACTTCTCTCTGCTTCTGTTTACTTGTGTGCTGCAAGGTGTGGAAACTGCAAAACACAATGCCCACAGAGCAGCTTCATCAGTACAAGTTTGTAAAAGTTTTTCTTTATTTGTATTTAAAATTGTCAAAGCGGGCATGCTGAGCGCTTACCTCCCAGAAAGCTTGATCGTCAAAGCATTTTTTGTTTTGGATTGGTCGACAGAAGTTCCATTTAATCAGAAACCCTTTAAACAACAGACTACATAATTATCACTTTCAGACATGATAAATATAGACGTGTAAGCCTATAGTTGTCAGTCTGTTAATCCATACAGTTTCATTATAATATTAACTGGGTAAATTACGGATTATAAACTCCAAGCGTCATACCTGTAAGAAACCCCATAGACACACTCAGAGAGATGGTAATAAACAGAGTACAGATGTGGAACACAGCAAATCGGTTGGCCCTGAAAGCGGAAACAAACCATTACTCAACTACCACGCTTGCTGCTTGTAAATAGTGTTTGGTTGCATTCTTACACCGTGTGATCATCACAGTCTTTAATCTGCAGGACAAGTTGTGCGAGCCAGCCCAGTAGACCAGGAAGCCCGTGTGTGCTTAACATGGCACAGGTGTCGTGGCACTCGTACGCTAACAGCATGTGCTTCTGGAAAAAACCGGAATGAAGTTGGTGTTGATTAAAGTAAATGTAAAATGTTTTTGGTGATGCAAAACCTTTAGATATTTGAATCCGATGGTCGATACAATGGCTGCGGTGAATCCGATTGCCATGGCTTCCCAAGGTTCATGTACAGCAGACATGGAAACGCCAACTGCAACACCACCAGCAAGGATGCACGACTGCATTTGGATCTGATTGAGGGACAACAATTACATTTTAGATGTTTTTACAGAGAACAAAGCTGTGTGATGGTGTTAATGTATGAATCGTACCAGGTTGAGTTTCCCTTTTGGGCTGCACAGCACAGACACTGCAGCTGCTGTCACAGCACTAACAGCTAGAGCCAGATAGGTGCTGCTCACCGCTCCCAACTTTCTCCAAGGAGTCCAATCAGGAACAAGCACAGAGTTGAAACTGGGCCAAAACATCCAGAGGAACACCGTACCTGCTCAAACATAAACGTAAGTGTTGCAATGCAAGATTTACTAAATACTAAACACTTCTTATAAATGCTCAAATAAATCACCCAGTGAGGAAAACAACCCAGATTTTCTGTCAAATTTCTCCTTTTCAAATCCGTCTTCTGAGCCTTTCCGATACATGATCCATGTCAGCGTGAGTCCAAAGAGGGCCCCGAAGATGTGGAGCAGCATGATGCTGCTCAGGGGTCGAACCTGAAATCGGGTGCCGTTAGTGGCAGCATCTTACAACCACTGAACCGTGAAACAAAAGTCTAAACAAGAGCGTTGCTGCTTACTTTCAGCAGAGTCCGGAGGAGCCATTCGTTTAAAACAAACCCTGACACTTCCAGCAGGACAATCACAGTGAGCTGGACTGGGTTGGCCTTCCCCAACACAGATCCAACTGCAATCAGTGCAGAAGCTGTGCACAACTCAGCAACCACAATGCTATAGAAAAAAAAACATAATTAGAAGTGAAAACTTTAATGATTTTTTTTTATAATTCCAGGGCTGTCTGCTTTTGGAAACAAAGAACATATTCAAATCCATTATTTCCATGAAAGAGTTTGTGATCTGCATCCTACCTTTTTAAATCCACCGTTATCCTTCCTGCGCTGAACCATGACTCCACACCTGTGAGGATTAACGCCCATTGGGAAGCAATGGCTGCAACAAGGAGGTTGAACCCAGTGCTGCTGAAACCATGACGCACTAGGAAGGTGCTCAAGAAGCCAAACCCCAAAATCACCATCACGTTCACATCCTGGAATTCTGCAAAAAGAAAAAGTTCATAGTTTTTCATCTTTTCAGCCCTCCCCCCCAATAAAAACTCACCTGAGTAAAAGTTTCTTAGGTCATCCTTGTTCACTGTTACTCTGTTTTTAAAATAAAGCGCAGATATGATGATAAATAAAGTCTGAAGACAAAGCAGTAACGGTGCCAAACGGGAGCGCAGACTTGGAGCGTATTGAGGAGCCATTGGATGTTTGTTTCTGCGCAGTTCTGTTGCATCTGACGCATAATCAGCCCGCAACACGGTTTTAAAAAGGGCGCAACCAGCAGAGCTCGTTATCAGCTGGTGGACACGAAGACATCTCTGTTTAAAATAATAATGACTCAAAAATTCTCTATAAAGAGCCCGAAACGCAAACAACCAATGAGGTCAACTGGTTTTTTGTTGTTAAATATGTATTTTATTTGCTTTTGTCTAGACGTAAATGCAATGTCTTATAATACAAGTTTTAAATCACAGGCAGATGATACCATTATTTGTAAACGCGCGCACGCATTTGCGCTCAACGTGCACGCATTGTAACCTTTAACAAAGCAAACTGCGTTCAGCGCTTTAGGCTGAGTGTGTGAATGGAGCACTCACACAGGCCCTTATATAAATAGCCTTGTATGTTTTTGTAACTGACACAAAGAGAATTTTGTACCAAAGACTGCGTATTTTCTCCTCACAATAAACCACAGGCACAAAAAAAATCCTCCATAACACAGCCCACCCCTGCTGTCATGCTATTGGTCAATCAGCCATTCCCGTTTTGTCCACAAAGATCTGATTGGCTGAACGACGCTACGTATCACGCGCAGCCTTCACGCTTTCCTCCGTTGTCTTTGACGGAGGAAAGCTGAACGAACAGCTTTGCTGAAAGGTGATTAGTTGGTGAATGTGTCAATCAAAACGAGAAGCCCTTTCGGACACTGTGATTGGACAGCCCATCCGTCTGACAACTACTCTATGCAAAACACAGCGCGGTTTGTGCTTATTGAGCCTGCGCTAACAGGAAAAGAGGAGGTTCCCGAAGAGAGTCCTTTATTTATTTCTTTGTGTTCAGTGGGGGTAAAAATAATAACAGCGACATATAACGCAAACACTTTATTTATTATCTTTGTCCGCATACACAAGAAAACTGGATAAGATTACAGCTGCTACTCGAAGGCCGAAGCCAAGGGGAGGAGGATGAAGCGGCGCAATGCGGACTGCAGCAAACTAAGACGGCCGTTAAAACGGAACCGAATCACCGAGGGTATCTACGGCAGGTAACTTACATGGAGCCCCATGGATAGGTGCTCCTCACACAGCTGTGTGTGTCTGCCTTGTCCACACTTAGCTTCCGGAGAGAGAGCTGCCACAGCTGGAAAGCTAGTTAAGCTAGCTACAGCTATGTTTGCAGGTAACATTAGCTGCTGAGCTAACTGCGCTGCTAGGCCCGAAAACAGCCTGTTATGAATGTTATTAGATTTATTTAACAGCAGCGTTACTGTTGGACACTGGTTGTCTGAACCAAACAATCCAGGCTGACGTTCGCCCACATAGATCGTCGCTGCGTGGTCCTGTCAAATCTAGCTGCTTCCTGTTCGGTAGCTCCAGCCTGGGTCAGACTGGCTGATCTGGAGCACTCTGGTGTTGTCTAAACAGTCAGTGGCTTTTAAACCTCATTTTGACTTCCTATTTATCTGGTCACACAAACGTCAACAGCAACCGGTTTAAGCATGAATGACTGAAGATACGGGGCAGCCTCCCACATCATAGACCAGTATAAAGTCCCTTTCTGGAGCTCATTTAAGCTGTAATGTGTGTGCACCTTCTGCAAACTTAAGGAACCTAGTCCAACCTACACAGCAAACCATCATAAATTATCATACGTTTGTATTTAATCTGGAAAACAGCAGTATGCTTAGTGCACAAATCTTAAACTTGATTCATCCCACGCAGAAATGCACAACCAGTGGGAATGTCATATAAGAGAGAAATCACTTTACTGTAATTAAACAACATGTTATGTTTGTGTTTTTCCAGTACCTTCCTGTACCTGAAGTTTCTGGTGGTTTGGGCTTTAGTGCTGCTGGCTGACTTTGTCCTGGAGTTCAGGTTTGAGTACCTCTGGCCATTCTGGCTCTTCATGAGGAGCGTGTACGACTCCTTTAGATACCAGGGACTGGTGAGTACTTCTAAACTAACATTTAAATTTGTTTATAATAAATATGATGCCCACTGGACATATTTATGATGTCACTGCGATATGTACAGACTTTAAACAAAAAAAAAGAAGCATTTATATGCATTGACCTCTTGCCATTCCTACATACATCCTGTTTTAACAATATTAAGATGACTAATTTGTCTTATTTAGTAAATTTCCATACTCCGTTACTTCTCTGATGGGTGATCTTTGATGCTTTTGAACTCTTTTCTGACTTTGTTGTCCTTTTTATACTTGGCTGAAATACAAATGCAAGGGTCAAATAGTAATCCTATTTAGAGAATAAAAATATTTAAAACCATAATAAACATGTCAGAATTTCTCATAATAAGGACTTGGTGTATTTTTAAGTATATTTAGTGTCAAGAGCAGAGGGAAACAACCTGCTGTACTAGCATGTTATCTTTTTTTGACGAGTTTATCCTCTAATCGACTCACATTCCAGATGAACATCTACATTTTTTGCCGTTTTATTCACCTTTCGTTCACGAGAGGTGCTGGACAGCTTGTTCTTGTTGAGACGATCGATGTGTGTTTATGTTTTATTGAGATGTGAACAGCTAATATGTCCTATTCGTTCTTTTTGTTGTTTTTTCACTCTCAGGCTCGTGTTTCTCCAGTTATAAACAATTAAAATCTGCCCGATGCTTATTTCCAACATTTATTTCCAGTTTTTATCCTTTTTAGGGGGACGGCTTTTATGTGATGAACTTGCTTTTTCAGAGAACGGGTGCTAAAATCATCTAATGACCTTTACTTTCCTCTTTTTTTTATTGCAAATTTTATTTTAACCAGCTGTCCTTTTTGTGTCCACAGGCTTTTTCAGTATTCTTTGTTTGTGTGGCGTTTACCTCGGACATCATTTGCCTCCTCTTCATCCCAGTGCAATGGTTGTTCTTTGCTGCCAGTACTTATGTGTGGGTGCAGTATGTTTGGCACACAGGTAAGAACTTTCTGCACAAGTCAGACCATGTGTTGTGCCCATAGATGTGCAGGGAAATGTTGATTTTTGATTCGCTATGAACTTTTTACTGCCAGTAGCGATGTGTGCTTGGCCGAGGGCTGATATGTGATGCCACTTCGGACGCATTATTAAAACAAAACCTGGTTTTAAACCTGTTTTCATCACATTTGTTACAATTGTTACTTCAAGTTTCATGAAACAAGCTTTGATAGGTCTTGTGTACGACCCTCGCTCATTGTGTTGTTTACAATCCGTTGATTTATTTCTAAGACTTTTGCATGGCGTATGTAAGCGAGCTGCGGATTAGCCGTCAGGCTGATTTAGTGTCATCAGCCTGTGTTGACCAAAGGCCAGGTGTCAGATTGAAACCCTGTTAGTTGGTTGGTGTTGTGTGGGGGTGGGGGGAGCAGAGTGGTTCTCAGTTGAGCTCACCAGTGGCATTCAGCACCGTAAGATGTCACCGGGGTATTAATATCTCACTGCGCTCCACAGCATGGTGTTGAATGTTGGGAGTGTGGTGCACCCAGAGAAACAATGGCTAGAGTCGATTTCCTGAGGCGCGTTTATATTAACGAGAGAACTTCTAATAGTTTATTAAAGATGCATCCAGTCACATGACCACGTTTCAGCTGTGATAAATGCTTTCAAAAGCAGCTCTCAGGGACTCGGTTGAGGTTTAAAATGTTCTTTTCTGTGCTTTCTGTTCACCCAGAGAGGGGGGTGTGTCTCCCCACCGTGTCTCTATGGATACTCTTTGTGTACATAGAGGCAGCCATCAGATTCAAAGACCTGAAGAACTTTCACGTGGACTTGTGTCGTCCTTTTGCTGCGCATTGGTAAGCATCAGAGAGAAAGTTGCTGTGCCACCTACATGCCAGCGCTGACTCTTTGTGTTTGTCTTCGCAGCATCGGCTATCCCGTGGTCACGTTGGGCTTTGGCTTCAAGAGCTACGTTAGTTATAAAATGCGCCTACGAAAGCAGAAGGAGGTGCAGAAGGAGAACGAGTTTTATATGCAACTGCTACAGCAGGCTCTGCCTCCAGAGCAGCAGATGCTTCAGAGGCAAGAGCGAGAGGCAGAAGAAGGTAAGACTTCATTGCTGCAGTCGTCTTTTTGACGGTTTGCATTAGGGCTGTCGCGGTTGAGGAATTCCCCCTGCGGTGATTCAGGGTGGCTTAATATTGCGGTGTGCGATATTATTGCAGCACTTTTTTTATTGCAGTACTATCTAAACATAATGTTTACACATTTAAAAAAGGTTAAAAATCGCAGTGTCTTCTTTAATAACACTTTACTGAATGCAGATCAAAGGGCAGTAACAACACAGATCGCAGAAACGTTTGTTTCTCCGACAGTCGGACTCCGACAGTCTGAGTCCGACTGAACTTAAAAACAACAAAATTCAGGAGGTTAAACTTTTAAATGCAAATTTGGCTGCAGCATCTAACAAATAAGAAACAAGTCCCCATTTTGTTTAGTTGTTTAAAATCAAGCATAAAAAATTACATGTACCGGGCGCGCGCGCGCCGGGGGGGGGGGGGGGGGCGGCGCGCACTATCATTTCACTTTCACACACACGAATGACGGTGATTTATAGCTTGGTCACGTCCTTGTTACCCACAAGGAAAACCAGCATGTTAACCATATACGGTTTGAGAGAGGATCTGAGAGGGGTGGCAACATTTCCAGCAACACTGAAAACCCTCTCGGATGGTGCGCTCGTTGCACTAACGCACACGTACTTGCGTGCGACTCTGGCGAGCAAAGGGAATCTCTCCCGGTTGTTGCTCCACCGTGTCAGGGGGGTTTCTTTAGGGTGGATGCATTCCTCCTGCAGGTAGCGAGTGAGCTCCAGCTCGGCTCAAACTCTCTTCGGGACGGTTGCAGAAGCAGTGCTTGTCCGGGACTTCAGCAGGTCTCCGAGCGTTTATTTATTTATTTATTTATTTTGCCGCTGGTGGCAGCTCTGTCTCGGCCAAGGACTCTGGCTGAGCAGCAGCTGACGTACTGAAAACCAAAGTGCTCCCAAAGGAGCGAAGTAACGTTTCGTTTTGATACCAGTGCAGCCATCCTTCTCAACATGCATCATTGAGTTGAACCAAGTTCAGTAATCGCGGTGGCCCATGATGCAGCGCGGTGGGCTTCTTCATATTGCGATATTTCATTTTTGCGGTTACCGCGACAGCCCTAGTTTGCATCGTGTTTTTGTTGCTCTTCATCAGTGTTTCCTGTGTCAACTCCGTGGCTGAGTCACCAAACAAGTTTTCTGCAACTGTTCCACTTCTGTGTGACGCTAGTTTCTTTCAATTTCTCCGTCAGACCACAAATGGTTTACAAAGCTGGTGTAAAGAAGGATTTAAGTAGAAGAAACGCTCAGACTGCTGAGATGCAAAATAAAACTAGAGTTAAGCCGGGCGGACACTGTGCAACTTTTTCACTCGTAGCACTCAGCTTCAGCTCAAACTGTACGACTTCCTCGCAGGGCAGATCTCACGAGTCATGCGCTCACACTGCACGACCCAGTTCTCGCATGCGACCTGACTGCTCACACTGTACGTCTGGTAGCTACACGTCGGACCTAAAAATATGCTAAAAATAGCAGTTTTTACTCAACACGTCAGACTTTTTTGTCTTGTTTTGCCTGTTGTCCTTCAGGAATGCTGCAGGAGGACACACAGGGATTTATGGGGGTTGGATGAGGAAAACCAAATAAGGAAAGTAAATCTGTGTTTAGTGATCACTTTAATTTGACATGAACACGACAAACACGCTTTCTAGACAATCTTTGTGAGTAATAAAAAAACGTGTAGAAATATAAACGAACAACGTGTGTTATTAGGGAAATAGCGGCGAGCGGCGTTGATGCAGGATTGCGCATGCGCCGTGAGCGGTTCTGATACATTTTGGGTCGCAGCTGCTCGCAGCGCCGCTTCAACAGTGCGATACCCTCACGCGGGACGAGCAAAATATCAAACATGCCAGAAGTCCGTGCGAGCTCACGATTGCTGATCGGTAGCTGGTCACATGGTGTTAATCGCCTCTCCTAACCCCCTGTACACTACACAACGCTCGGCGCAAAACTCGCCCCGATCTTGTGGATTCTCGCACGACTGGAAAATCGGCTCAAAAAAGTGAAAAAGTCGCACAGTGTACGCCCGGCTTAAGTCGGACAGAAGATGAGCGCCTCTTCTTTCAGTTTCACTCACCTACAGGCTTTCACTCTCAGATTTTTGCTCCTGTCTCATGTTTCTCAACGATAACCACAAATACAGCTGATCTAGCGTCTGATCTGATGATATTATTTTGTAAAACTTTCTGATATTTCTTTTAATTATTTAGCATTTGAAAGATTCTGACGCTTAATGGATGAAAATTAAACAGAAGTAGAATAAGTCTTCTCTCTGCTGCTCTCTTCTTGTTTAGGAAAGCTCCGATCCGATAGCGTGAAATTCAAACAATCGGAACTGGGTGGAAGAGATCAGATTCAACCTTATAAAACAGCAAACATGAACTTCTAAGTCAACCCTGAGTTAGAGTTCCTTAAGGCTCTGGATTTTGTAGCGTTGTGTTGGCTGACGCGGCTCTGCAGTATCGTGTGGAAGAAGAAGAAGAAAATGTCATTTCTGTAGCGCCTCTCAAGGTAAAAATCACGAGGCGCTTCACAAAAACAAACAAAAATGTAAAAATCCAAAAAGAATTTAGAAAATGGTTAAAAATATATTTAAAATGAGCAAAAATAGGCAATTGCGATTTAAAAGAAAAAAAATGTTAAAGAGAGAGAGAGAGTGAACAGGAAAGAGGGAAATCAGTGGATCCTGAGGAAGGTGGAATAGGTGGGGAGAGCAGAATAAAGAGAGAGTGAAGAAGGACACACCAAAGCCAGCTTGAACAAGTGAGTCTTCAGCTGCTTTTTAAAGGAGACCACTGAGTCCACTGATCTCAGGCTCAGGGGGAGAGAGTTCCAGAGTCTGGGGGCCACAGCAGCAAATGATCTGTCACCTTTGGTCTTTAGCCTGGTGCTGCACAACCAGTAGGCTTTGATCACTGGACCTCAGGGACCTGCTGGGGGTGTAGGGACTAAGAAGATCACCAATGTAAGATGGTGCTTGTCCATGTAAGGCCCTATAGACCAGAACCAGGATCTTGAAATGAACCCTGAAGTTGACTGGCAGCCAGTGAAGCTGGAGGAGAAGCGGTGTGATGTGGGTGTGTTTGGAGGACTTGGTCAGAAGCCGAGCACAGGCATTCTGAACCACCTGTAGACGGTTCAGGGAGGTTCTGCTCAGACACGTGAAAAGAGAGTTACAGTAGTCTAAGCGTGAGGAGATGAAGGTGTGGAGAACTGTCTCAAGTTCAGAGCGAGACAGAATGAGACTCAGCTTAGCAATGTTCCTGAGATGGAAGAAGGAAGAGCGAACAAGATAACTGACATGAGAATCCAGGGTGAGAGCTGGGTCAAAGGTCACGCAAAGATTCCTGACGGAAGGTTTGGTGTGAGAAGCAAGCTGACCAAGAGAGTCTCTGACTTTGGGAACCAGCTTGTCTGGGGCACAGATGAGGATCTCAGTCTTATCTTCATTCAGCTGTAGAAAGCTCCCAGCCATCCAGGTTCTGATAGAGTCTAAGCAGGTGTGTAACAGCTGCAGCTTAGACATCTCATGGGGCTTAAAGGAGATGTACAGTTGGATGTCATCGGGGGCAGTCCCATTAGATTGGCAAACCAGGGTGGTGGTCTCCCTATTTAAAAAGGGGAACTGCTGGGTGTGTTCCAACTCCAGGGGGATCACACTCCTGAGCCTTCCTGGTAAGGTCTATTCAGGGGTTTTGGAGAGGAGGATCCGGCAGATTGTCGAACCTCAGATTCAAGGGGAGCAATGTGGTTTTTGTCCTGGCCGTGGAACACTGGACCAGCTCTATACCCTTAGGGGGATCCTGGAGGGTGCCCGATCAGTCTACATGTGTTTTGTGTATTTGGAGAAGGTGTTCGACTGCAACCCTCAGGGGGCTCTATGAGGGGTACTCCAGGAGAATGAGGTACCAGGCCCTCTGATACTGGCTGTTACGTCCCCGTAGGACTGGTGTCAGAGATTGGTCCACATTGCCAGCAGTAAGTTGGGCTCGTTTTCAGTGAAAGTTGGACTCTGCCAAGGCTGCACTTTGTCACCGATTCTGTTCAGAACTTTTATGGACAGGATTTCTAGGAGCCGCCAAGGTGTTGAGGGGATCAGTTTTGGTGGCCTAAGGATTGAGCCTCTGCTTTTGCAGATGATGTGGTCCTGTTGGCTTCATCAGAACGTGATCTCCGGCTCTCATTGGAGCGGTTCGCAGCCGAGTGTGAAGCAGCTGGGATGAGAATCAGCTCCTCTAAATCCGTGACCATGTTCTGGAGTCGGAAAAGGGTAAAATGCCTTCTCCGGGTCAGGGATGAGGTCCTGCCCCAAGTGGAGGAGTTTAAGTATCTCAGGGTCTTGTTCACGAGTGAGGGAAAACTGGAGCGTGAGATCGATAGGTGGATAGGTGCTGCATCTGCAGTGATGCGGGCGTTGTACCGGTCTGTCGTGGTGAAGAGAGAGCTGAGTCAGAAGGCGAAGCTCTCGATTTACCGGTCGATCTACGTTCCTACCCTCACCTATGGTCATGAGCTTTGGGTAGTGACCGAAAGAACGAGATCGCGGATACAAGCGGCCGAAATGAGTTTTCTCCGAAGAGTGGCTGGGCTCTCCCTAAGAGATAGGGTGAGAAGCTCGGTCATCCGGCAGGGGCTCGGAGTAGACCCGCTGCTCCTCCACATCGAGAGGAGCCAGTTGAGGTGGCTCGGGCATCTGGTCAGGATGCCTCCTGGACGCCTCCCTGGTGAGGTTTTCCGGGCACGTCCAACCGGGAGGAGACCTAAAGGGAGACCCAGGACACGGTGGAGGGATTATGTCTCTCACCTGGCCAGGGAACGCCTTGGGATTGCCCCGGAGGAGCTGGCCCAAGTGGCTGGGGAGAGGGAAGTCTGGACCTCTCTGCTTAGGCTACTGCCCCCGCGACCCGGCCCTGGGTAAGAGGCTGAAAATGGATGAATGGAAACAAAAGCTTAGTTTTAATTCAACAAACTCCATTCCGTCAGTAGTCATCGTTGTATAGACGACAACAACACCGTAATGTCACAAAATCTACAGCAGCTGGAGAATTCAGACACCCTAACGTGTAGCTGTTAGCTAGCAGGCCAACACAGAGCTAACGTGTTACCTCAGGAGAACAAAAATATCTGCAGGTTGGACATATTTAAACCGGACAGCAAAAGCAGTGCAACAGACACGTGTAATGTGTGCATACTGGGTGTTTAGCGTCGCTGCAGGAACTCGGACAAAAACGTGGAGCCAGCCGACACTGAAAGATGTGTTTAAGAGAAAAGGGTTGTAAAATGGTCTCAGCACTGTTGCCTCGCAGCACGAAGGTTGCAGGTTCGAAACTCGGCTGCGGCCTTTCTGCGTGGAGTTGCGTGTTCTCCCCATGCATGCGTGGGTTTCCTCCGGGTTCTCCGGTTTCCCCCACAGATCACAACATGCCCTATAGGTTATAAACTTTAAGCCGCTTTTGATAAAAGCGTCTGTTAAATAAATAAACATAATCACACCGGATGAGAGTCTGCGGCTGCCAAAGTTGGGTTTTGCGGTCTTCTGGAGCCACGGTATGAGTTTCATTGTCTTCAGTATTTTACACACGCAGCTCTCAGGTAAGACACGTCACGGGAAAATGGAGGAATCCGTTTTTACGCCACGTAAGCGCGTAGAAATGTGAGCAACGAGGAACCTTTTTAAATATGTTTGTTGTATTAACACCCTTCTTATCAATATTCCTGCTGAATGAGGGAGGCCTTTTGGCAGATAAAAGGAAGAAATGACAAATCTCAAAAGAAAGAAAAATGTAAATAATAATAAAAACTTAAAGGGCAACTTGAATGGTTTCTCTTTTATCCTTTATTTAACGAAGTATCGGATCGGGACTCAAAGGACTCGGATCGGCAAATAAATGTGATGGGAACCTCCCTGGGTGTTACCTATACGAGTTTCCAGCACGTGCATCTACGCTCTACTTTATACAAAGTTTGTGGTTGCAGGTGCGCACCAGGCTTTGATTAAAGACTTAATATTTCCATGGTTCTCCTGCTTTCTCCATGCAGCAGCAGCTAAAGGATTATCTGAAATAGACGCACCTCCGGTGACACAAAATGGCGCCCCAGCCAATAAAAAGACAGCTGTGACATTGCCAGAGCTGGAGTATAAAGAAAAAGGGAAAGAAGGAAGAAATGGTGGTGAGAATAAAAAGCAACACAACAGCATTCTGCCGTCGTCAGTGGACTGTAAAATCCAGGAGATGGAGTATATGGAGAACCATCTGAACAACAAGAGACTGACCACAGAGCTGGGGAGCACAGAGAACCTGTTGCACAAAGAGGACATCAACTCCTCCAGTTCTTCCTCGTCGTCGTCATCCTCCAGAAATTGCAAAAATCTTAGCTGCAACGCCACGACGGTGAACTCCTCACCGCGCGGTTACAGCGCCACCAACGGCTCCGTGCCCTCCTCGGCGCAGCCGTCTTCAACGGGGAAAAACGATAAAAAGCACAAGTTACCGGTGGGGAAGGGGACATCGGGGGGTTCCCACAAGGATCCAACAGACAACTGCATCCCCAACAACGAGCTGAAAAAGCCAGAAGCACTTGTTAGGTAAGAAGCTCGCAGAACGGCGCTGCCGTTTAGTTCTTTGGTGGACGTCCTTCATCTCCTCTTGTTTATGTCTTCATGCAGATTGGAGCAGGACATTAAAAAGTTGAAGGCAGACCTGCAGGCCAGCCGGCAGGTGGAGCAGGACCTGCGCAGCCAGATCGGCTCGCTGGGCAGCGCTGAGCGCTCCATACGCACCGAGCTGGGTCAGCTGCGCCAGGAAAACGAGCTGCTGCAGAACAAGTGAGTTGTGGAGGCGACGCAAGCTTGCAATTAGGGGCTCTGACGCGGTTTTGTTTGTGCCGCACACCGTCTAATGTATTGTGTGCCAATGTGCAAGGCTCCATAACGCTGTGCAGGCGAAACAAAAAGACAAGCAGGCCGTGGGCCAGCTGGAGAAGAGGCTCAAAGCAGAGCAGGATGCTCGAGCGAACGCAGAGAAGCAGCTCGCAGAAGAAAGGAAGCGAAAGAAGCTGGAGGAGGCGACCGCAGCCAGAGCGGTGGCGCTAGCAGCGGCGTCCAGGTGTGGTGACTAACCTGCTCAGCTGATACTCCCAAATATCTCTGATAGAATCTCACTTATTTCTTTGTTTTCCAGAGGGGAGTGCACAGACACGCTCAGACGGAGAATCACAGAGCTGGAGTCGGAGTGTAAAAAATTTACTGTGGACATCAAAGTGAAGGAGGATCAGATACGAGAGCTGGAGTTAAAAGTTCAGGTTAGTGTTGTAACCATCGACATATAAATATTGAACAATGGGTTTCCATAGGCTCCAAAAACACGTTTTTGAGGCCAAATAGGAGGTGGCCACCACCGCCATTTTGACCGTGTCACAGGTTAAGTCAAGCCCAGACAATTCCACAGAAGGGAAGAGAGGTGGAGCTGTGAGGCTGGGATCAACTGACGACACACGGTCGAACTAGCTACAAGCTAACCCAAAGCTAACGCGGAGGTGGGAGCTAAGCTAACAGAGGTAGCAACCTAGCAGCAACCGGAGTTAACTGTGCACAACACCAGAGCTTCTGAGTCAGAGATACGCCGGGCTGACCGCTGGGTAAAACCGGGTGGAACACAGGTCTCCCGAGAGCTCCACAAGCTAGCAGTCGCACAGCAAACAAGCGCTGCTGCGATCTGAGATGCGCCGAGCTGCTGGGAGGGGAGAACCGGGTGGAAAACATCGGTCTCCCGAGAGCTCCACAAGCCGATAGTCGGAACCCAGCTCCACCAACATGTTATATTTCAACCCATTTTCTAAAGTGCAGCATTATGTTAAATGCACTGGGTTTTACCCTATTACATTTAAATTTCATGGTTAAACAGTACATGTTAAAATCTAAGCTCAGCTCGGCAGTGACCTAAAATACATAAATATAATTTTACTTACTGAAAAAAATGAAGTGGAGACTCCTTGGACGCTCTATTAGTGCAATTAATGCCACAGCAAGTCATTTTGTCCAACAATTGCACAAATAATATCCAAACAAGAATACACACACACAGAGACTCAAAATCCCGGAACAGCATCCAGGCCAGGCCGAGGCTCTACTGAGGCCTTTCCACGGAGCTAGCTCTGCAGTCACGTGGGTCGGATGCTCATTAATTATACAGAATTTTAGGCTTTTAATACACTTAAACAGAAGAGTGAGAAAAAAATTCACCCCCCCTCAGAGTTGTCATGAGTGTAAACTAGATCATTTAAACCAAAAACATGTTTTGGTACCAGGCTGTAAACATGTTTATTTCTGCTGTGAAATTGGTATTTTTAACATGGGAGTCAATGAGGATTTGCTCGCTTCTGACACCAGCCCCCAGTGGATGAGGGTGGAACTGCAATTTTTGGTACTTCCGGGATTGCTTCAATTTTTGAGCCGCATTGTGGGGGCCTGGTTGGTACCAGATGTTTAAAGCAGAAATCTGGAGATTTGTATCGGGCGGCACCATCTAGAGGTGGAAAGATGTACTACACCTTTAGCCCCTCCCCCTACTTCCATGAGTACAGCAGGAAGCATCGCCTCTCCAGCCAGCCAACAGAACTAAACCTTCTCTAAGGTTGCTCAGGCTGCACTTTTCACACATTTATTTTCACAAATGTCTCAAAAATCATCTAGTGAACAACACTTAGCTGTAAACAGCAGATGCTACTCTACTGCTCTGATACCCGACCTGGTTTTTCTGCAGGAGCTTCATAAATACAAGGAAAATGAAAAAGACACAGAGGTGTTGATGTCGGCGCTGTCGGCGATGCAGGACAAGACCCAGCACCTGGAAAACAGCCTGAGCGCAGAGACCAGGATCAAACTGGACCTTTTCTCTGCACTCGGCGATGCCAAGAGGCAGCTGGAGATCGCACAAGGTTAGCCCGACACTCGCAGTCCAGCCTGACGCCTTCACCGGATCTGACACGCTTGTCTGCTTTCAGGTCAGACCCTGCAGAAGGACCAAGAGATCAAAGACTTGAAGCAGAAGATAGCAGAAGTGATGGCCGTCATGCCCAGCATCTCTTACACAGCCGACACCAGCAGCATGACCCCTGTGGCCCCTCACTACTCCTCAAAGTTCATGGACACCAACGCCTCCGGCTTGGACCCCAACGCTTCTGTTTACCAGCCTCTGAAGAAGTGAACACTCGTTTGTTTTTCTGCCCCTCTCCTCCTTTCATTCTCTACATTTTTACTCCTCCTGCAGGCCCCGGCTTGTCGCGGCGGAGAACTCTTTCTGTTCTCTTTCGCCAGTTCAGAAGGATGTTGTATTATGTGATTGTGTTTGTTGTAGTTAAAACAAAAGACAAAAAACTTACAGACATCCCCCGTCGGTGAAGAGGCCCCAGGTTTTTCTTTATTTTAGTGAAACCTCACAGATTTGGGCGCGTGTCTTCATCTCTTCAGGAGAAGCTGCTGCGTTTCTTTAAATTTGACTATTCTCTTTATGAACTGTAAAATAACCCAACGTAATGGCATCCCGGTGAATTTGGAAGACTCCGGATTCAGCCCGTCACGCTCGTACAACCAGAGGAATGTAGTGCAGACGGCACCGACTTCCCCCGTCGTGTTCGAGTTACTTCAGAGCGTCTGCTCCAGCCTGTGGTGGTTACTGGTTTTAAAGTCGTTTTTGTGGTTATTTACGTTCACAATAAACTCGGAAATATTTGATAATTAAGTTAAATCTTTAGTTTTCGTTCCCCAAAACAAAACTTTGTTGTGTTTTCTGACGGTTTTTGAGCTAATGGGAGAAGAAGAGGTGTTCGTGTTTAAGTGAGGACACGAGACGCCGCCCACAGCTTCCCACGTCGTCGCGAAATTCTCGATGAGCCGGAAAGACTAAAGATTCCTCTCCGCATGATGAAGAGGCACAAACCCCTTCCTCGCTAATGAAATCCACATTAAACAAGAAAACCTTCCTGTTAAATATCGGACATCGTTAAATCCAGTAACTACCATCTAAAACGGATCAGGAGCTGCTTTTAAACTCGTTTGGATCAGCAGGTTTACGGTTAATAGCTAAACTATAAGGAATTCCATTTTTTCCCAGGTAATTTAATTAATGTGCACCTGAATTTGGCGTGCCAAGACTGTTCCTTTAGTAACGCGTTGAAGAATGTACCTTTGAGTTGATGGTAGACTCAGCTGGTGGAAGGTGAGCAGGCAGAGGTTTGGTCTCCTGTTTTAATGTCGGACCGTTCAGGCGAGGGAGCAGGAAGTCACACGGAGGCTCCGATGGCAGTCGTAACCATGTTTCTGGTGACGTCGTCGATCTGCTCGAGCGTCACGTGGCTTCACCGTCGGCTGAAACGCTCGTTGTCGTGCAGCGTACGGTTTCACCTACTGTATGCGGAAACGCTTTCATTTCTTCTCTTTTCTGTTTCCACTCGGATCGCTGTCGTTGGCTTCTTGGAAATCTGTGGTAAAATTTACAGTTTGGTCAGCTGATTGGTGAACAGATGTTTTTTGTTTTCTACGCCCACAGTCACTGTTCCGGTTTCTCCCAGGTCTGACCTCGGCGGCGCTCTCACTCTGTGAGGTTTACAAGAAATAAATTTTTTTTCTTGCAAACTTATTTTCCTGTTTGTTGCTATTTTTTATCTTTAGGATTATGCTTCGTTCATCACCCCGTGTTGTCTTGTTTTCTTCTTCAGGTGTCCCTGTAGCTCAGGGGTCTGCAGCCTGCGGCTCTTTGAACTCAACAACTTTAAAATATAAAACTTCACTCATATAAACATAGATGTAATAAAAAGCAGGTTTAGCAGTGTTTCAGGTTTCCATGGAATAGTTGCGTTGCATTTCCACAACAGAGTGACACTAAAATGACCAATTTTGCTTAATTCTCCACTAATATGATAGATTTCTATTTACAAGTTTTTCAATAATTACAACAGATTTTCAATTAGTTTAAAAATACAACTATTTAAAAAAATGTGTTATCTAATTTTATTATGACAACCTGAAAATATTTGGTCATAAAAATCAGTAATTATTAATGCTTTGGCTCCGCCCTCAGCAGGGGGGCCCAAGCTTGCTGTCAAGTTGGCGCTAGCCCCCTCCTAGAATCACCCCTGCGTACATCTGTTTTAAATTTAATCAGATTACAGTTTTTAATTGTTCCCTCATCTTGGCATTGTTTCACATTTGTGAAAATTAGCTAATAAACAGATATTTTCATTCTATTAACTTTAACTAAAATATAAAACTTCACTCATACATATAAACATAGATGTAATGCAGGTTTAGGCCGTGTTTCAGGTTTCCATGGAATAGTTGCGTTACATTTTCACAACAGAGTGACACTAAAAGTACCAATTTTGCATAATTCTCCACAAATATGAACATCACAAAAACATCCATACTCCACACGCCAACGTTTTATTTTATTTTAGGCTGCGCAGTGGTCAGAGCTGTTGCCTTGCAGCAAGAAGGTCCTGGGTTCGCTTCCCAGCCTGGGATCTTTCTGCATGGAGTTTGCGTGTTCTCCCTGTGCATGCGTGGGTTCTCTCCCGGTACTCCGGCTTCTTCCCACAGTCCAAAAACATGACTGTTAGGTTAATTGGTCTGTCTAAATTGTCCTTAGGTGTGTGTGTGTGCATGATTGTTTGTCCTGTGTGTCTCTATGTTGCCCTGCGATGGACTGGCTCTCTGTCCAGGGTGTACCCCGCCTGATTGCCCGTTGACAGCTGGAGATAGGCACCAGCCCCCCGCGACCCTACGTGGACAAGCAGGTTCAGAAAATGGATGGATGGATTTTTATTTTAACATACCATTGATAAATACTTTGCATATACATACAAAAACTTAGTATGTGCATATTGCTTAACACTTATGAGCTATCAGTACTTAACATCAATGTGGAAAAAAGAGAAAGAAAGAAAAGGGAAAAAGAGAAAGTAAAATTAAAAAAGAAAAAAAAAAGGGGAACAGAATCATCAGGGGAGACTGAAATCTATTCACCAATCATTATAAAAAAGCATCGGGCTTCCGGACTGTCATCAGGGTATCCGCGGGTCCGTAAAAAGTCTTAAATTAGCGTTTCCAAATTTAAGGCCTTAAAAATCCTTAAAAATGACAAATAATCCTTAAATACAGTTTCCAAAGGTGTTAAATTACTAAAGACCCAATAAACAAGATTATTTTATTTCTATAAAAATTTTGTGAATTTCTAGTTGGTGTTCAGCATTTTTTGTGTACGATGTTGGCGTAAGCGGAACCGTACACATTCAGTTAGTTGTGAAAGGGGGCTATTTTTAGATGAGCACATTAGCTGGTTAAGCTAGTGGGAGCTTGCGCCATGGGGAAGTGCAAGTTTAATGGTAACTGGATGGCTAATCCAACGTTCGCGACGTGGTTGACACCGGTTCCAGGCAATAGCTGGAAATTATAGCTTAAATTAAATTTTTAAAAGTTGCTTAAATTTGGTCAAAGTGGCCTTAAAAAAGATCTTAAAAAGTCTTAAATTTGGCTCCCTTCAATCTGCAGATACCCTGTGTTATATAACTAGGGCTGCAACAACGAATCGATAAATTCGATGAAAATCGATTACTAAAAGCGTTGGCAACGAATTGCGTCATCGATTCGTTGTGTCGCACAACTCTTCCAAAAGCGCCCCCCCTTCCCGCCCGCCGTTGCGCGCAGACCAGAGCAAGTCAGATCAGCGCGAGGGAGAGCCGCAGATCAGCGCGAGGGAGAGCCGCAGATCAGCGCGAGGGAGAGCCGCAGATCAGCGCGAGGGAGAGCCGCAGATCAGCGCGAGGGAGAGCCGGCAGATCAGCGCGAGGGAGAGCCGGCAGATCAGCGCGAGGGAGAGCCGCAGATCAGCGCGAGGGAGAGCCGCAGATCAGCACGAGGGAGAGCCGCAGATCAGCGCGAGGGAGAGCCGGCAGACTTGAGCTGCTGCGAACCGGTTCCGCATTGTTGCACAGCGATCCAGGCAGCTGCTTCCAGCGCACGGTCCATTCTCAAAGTGGCGCAACCAAAAAACTATAATTAGCACACGATCGTTCATGTCCGCACATGTTCTCTATTTTCTGTCTTATTTGTGCCTGAAGCGCGCTACTGCGGAGCTCATCACCTGTGCTGTGGTGATGTCACCTCACGCAGCATCGAAAACGCGCTCTGCGCTTTTCGGTCAGGAGATCTCTTTGATCTGCTCAAAAGTAACTGATGAGGTGAAAAGGTAAGAATCCAGGCAACAGATTTTCTGGAGAATTAAGAGGAGATGCAGGAAGATGAGAGACAGACAGGACAGGAAAATAGTTAAATAAAAACAAGAAAACAAAACAAAGTGTTGAAAAGTAAAATGTAGGTAGATTTATCTCCACTACACGTTTTTACCAGTAAAAAACAATAAGTTATACACATGTCATATTTATACATCTGATACAATTCAGATCACCTTCAAAACTCAGTCACACACCCAGGGCCGTTTCAAGACATTTTGGGGGCCAAGGCAAAATGCCCCCCCCCCCCCCCCCCAATAACTGGGCTCCCCAGAAGCCTCTGTGTAATTCATGCCCTCTCCAGTAGTGTTAGTTATACAGTGTTTATAAAAGCCCCTCAGACATTACTGACATGCTCTAATATTATCAGATGAAAAACTAAATTATCAGACATGCTGTCTCATCTGCTTATTTTATAAACTTGCAAAAAGTAACAAAACCATTTGAAAGCCACTATTTGTGGATTCTCTGAAAGTTTCCATGGAGTGTGTGACAACTTATTTTTTCATTGATCCTATCGTCTAATCTCACAGTTGAAACAAGCATCCTTAATAATCTGTGCACAGGAAGCTTACCGATGCTGTAGTAAAACAAAAGGTATAGTAATTTATTATTAATAAAACCTTGTTGCAACACTAAAGCAGAAAAATTAGATTTTGCATTAAATATGCAAAATATTTACATATGAATTGTTTTAGAGCCCTTTAATTGGCAGAATCTGATATTAATTTAGTTCTTACAAAAAATGGTTCCCAACATGGTTTGTGTGGCGTTGCCATAGTGTGACGTCATAGGCACAGATCCCCTGTCCTCTTGTTTGGAAATGGAAATATGGTCACCCTACATTAAACAAACTGTCCACCCGGGCTTTTGCACTGCACAGAGACGCTTCGCTGCCTACGACTGAACGTCAGTTGAGAGTCAGTCTCATGCAGACTGACCAATGAAGAGAGGGCCTCAAGTTAAGACCCTCTCCTCATTGGTCAGTCCACACGAGGTGGGTCAAAGGTTACTCTGGGCGGGTTACGTGTTGTCAGGCATTCAAGTATTGAGTATATTTACTGCATATTACAGTAAAATATTCTGTATGTGACCACATTATGGTGATCCTCGGGTCGTGATGATTGAGCCCTTGAATATTGTTGCCCAGGGTACAACAAAGTGTTAATCTGGCCCTGGTTCCGCCGTCACATTCCCGCAGAAACTGGTTGATCACACCGGGGCCAGACTACTAGCATGTGGTTTTACAACCACAATGTCCTCAGAAGCAAAAACGCTTTTAAAAGGGAGGGAGGAGTCCTAACTGTTGCTGCAGGCGTGTTGTGTGAGAGTGCAGTTATATACTGGTTAATATATTTTTGGGTTCAGTTGCTTTCATGTGGCCTAATGTGAGTCTATTTGGGATCATTGGAATGATCAGCAGCATTTCTTGATGTGACTTTATGGCAGTTGCCCAGGGCATCATCGCAAGGAGGATGGCATTCATTTACTTTTGTTTTATTTGGTATTTTTTCAGTCATTTTTGGAAATAGTGATCAATTTTGATAAATTCACAGCCTATGTTTAATTACATTTAAAATAAATGTCAACAGATGAGATCAAACAAAACAGATGAGAATTGCCCTTAAGCTGTTTAACTTGGACCAAGCATTTTAGGTCACAGATAGATGTAGCTTAGGGTCTCTGTCTATACACCTTATAAGACAATTTAGGTGATGGCATGTTGTTTTTCTGCTATTGAACTGTTTTCTAATAATGTTGTGTTAAATAAAGTGAAGGAAGGAGAGAAATAACGTTTCCCTAGCAGTTTTTAAAAATTTCCCCATGTAATCCGATTAATCGATTAATCGTGTCGAGACCCCATCCGATTAATCGATTATCCAAATAATCGTTTGTTGCAGCCCTATATATAACTAATCAATTTTGCCCAGCATGAATCAAATCTATCAAGATAGTGATTTACAACAGCAGTCAGTCTTTCCATTTTATAAATATCCATTGTTATATCCATCCATTCTGTTAAATAGGCTTCGCCGGTGTCCTCCATTTCCTAGTCAAAGTTTTCCCACTAGAAATCAGTAAAATATTAATTAAATCCTCGTCTTTTGTTGTCCAGTCTTGTGCCATACAACCAAAATACATCATTTTCATTTCCAGTGGGAATACACAGTCAAGCATGGCCTGCAGTGCCATGTGAATATCTGTCCTGTACTGTTTGATTAGAGGGCAATCCCATAGTATGTGGAAGTAATCTGCACTGCAAACGTTTTTTCCTATTTTAAAACTGAACTCTAACGGAAGAGGAAAAGTAAATATTTGGGGCTTTAATTTTAAAACTTGACTTTAGGCCTCCGACGTTATTGAATTCTTACATTATTCTCACAAATCTGAGAGAACGTTTTTTTTTCCCAGCAGGCCTAATTCTCTGTAGATTTTTATCATAAATGATGAAACTTTAAAATGTCCTGTAAGAGTTTCAGCTCTAAAGTTTTATTTAGTAAAAAGCTGCTCTTTGACCACTGCTGGAATCGATTTCTCCCACATCACTGCACAGTTAAGCCTATGAGCTAATTTGTGTCGCAATTTATTCTTTTGAGTTACATTCCTTCACTAAACATTAATAAATATGCCTTTTTGTATGATTTAAAAACTTGATCTAGTTTAAAAACAGAAAAATCAGCCTCTAAATGCAATGTCATATTTTCCGCTAGGGGGCAGTGCCTACCCCCCACAAAACAGTGGAAAGATCAACTATTCACCAGTTAATTGTAAAAAAAACACACAAATTCTTCATAAATTAATAAATTTAATTTAATCTTCGACAAAATAAGGAGTAAAATGACTTGTCTTCCTCAGTTCTACGTGGATGAATGCCGTCATGAAGCTGATTCAGTTTGAGATCAAACAACAAACAAATCATGGGTTAGCAGGTCTGATCTGAGGGAAAATTCTTCTATCTTGAGAAGATGAAAGTAAAATCCTTCTCTGAGGAATGCTGTGTTGTAATGCATGAAAGAAACTCTTGGTTTAACCGGCGCAGTGAGAAAAATGAGGGCGAACCTCTTCCCTTAATTTCTCTGCAATAATCACGTTTAGCATAAATTTGGTTTCCACACAGTTTTCATCATTTTCTCAGTAGAAACCTGACTCCACACACTCAAGCGTGCAAAATGAGCAGATTATAACTTCTAGCTGCAACAGAAACTCGAGTGTGAGGTTTTCTCCTGCACATTTTTGTCAATAAAATTGATTTAAAAGATTTTTTTTTAACGTTGCATTGGGTTTGCAGCTCCGCTGGAATATTCTCAAGGCTGTTTACATTGTTTTCGGGAATGTGCAAAAATATGTATTCTGGCTTCGCTCAGCTTCAAAGTAGAGTTAATATTGGCTAAGCTGTTCACAAACCACCTGCTGCTGCAAGTCAAGGTGTGATTTGTTTAAATAATTTAAAAACAGCAGTTTAGAAGGAATGCACCTGTCTGAGCACAAAGGGGTAGTTAGTGCAACACTAATGCTGTAATCAACCACCATTTATCCAGCCTCTAATTAAAGATGGCTGTGATGTTGGCTAATTCGTCCTCAGGGGAGTGTTAGTCTCCTGAACTCCCGTCTCCAAGCTTCTCATCTGGGATCCTTTACGAGCCATTCTCCTGAGTGCTTTATAATGATGTAATAGTCTCAGTCTAACACATGGGGATGCCATTTGGTTTCATTCTAAATCTCATGACTAAATATGAGTGAGGGTGGACATGTTTTAGTTTCTGAACCATTAAATTTTAATTTCTAATTATGAATAAAAAAAAGTCCTCAGGTTTTATGGTAAGGGAAGTTGAGCTTTGCCCTCCCGTGTTTGTAATGGTTAACAATTATGATCTAATTGGAAAATGTATGAAATCGGGGGAGATTCTTACAGGCCGAGGCCATCTGCTCTGTTAGAGAAGCACAATAGTGAGAAAACTACAGTTATTATTTTAACATTTTGCGAGTATTTACAAGTTTTTCCATAATTACAACAGATTTTCAATTAGTTTGAAAATACAACTATTTAAAAAAATGTTTTATCTAATTTATTTATTATGACAACCTGAAAATATTTGTTCATACAAATCAGTAATTATTAATGCTTTGGCTCCGCCCTCAGCAGGGGGGCCCAAGCTTGCTGTCAAGTTGGCGCTAGCCCCCTCCTAGAATCACCCCTGCGTACATCTGTTTTAAATTTAATCAGATTACAGTTTTTAATTGTTCCCTCGTCTTGGCATTATTTCACATTTGTGAAAATTAGCTAATAAACAGATATTTTCATTCTATTCTTGAAAAATTATTTAATCAATTTGCACCAAACAGTGAATTATAATTATTAGTGGAATAAGCTCTTCAATACCCAGTGATTTTAATATATTTAATTGTGAGATTTTACTACAACAAATCCATTTATTGCAGTGGTTGGTTGTCTGACTACATGCCACAGTGATGTGACCCAGTCTGCCCGGCCCGACTCGTTAATCCACTTGCTGAGGTGAGACGAGTCCGTGACGTGTCTTCGCGCGTCAGTGGGAGCTCAGGAAACAAACGGAAGACTTCTCAATAAAAGCGAGCAGCAGCGTTATAGATTGAGCGGAACAGCTGGAAGGGCAGTCACGCCGCGCGTCGGAGCAGCGCCTTCTTGCCGCTCGCGCGACCTGCCGCGCCGCTCGCGTGACACCACAACGGGCGTAACGCACGCGCCATCCGGCCAATTTACATACATAACACCGCCCAGAGGACGAGCATGATAATCCACCATCGACTGAAACCGAGCTGAGCGCTGAAGAGAAGAAAATAGACTATTTAAAAAGTTTTCTCGGGAGAGAGAGGGCTGTTTTAAACCGAGAGAAGGGAGAGAGTCGACGGAGACGGACGCGCGCTCGTCGGGCTCTTCGCCCCACTTCTGTTTTTGGGTTTACGGACATGGACGCTTTGAAATCCGCCGGGAGGGCAATTATACGGAGCCCCAGTATCGCGACGCAGTCCTGGGGTTCGGGCAAACATAAAAGTAAGTGCTGCTCACCGTGCGTGTTGGTGTTAGCTGGTGCTAATTGTGTTGCTAACCGGTGTTTTGTCCTAGCCCTGCTTTATAACTTATCCATGCACGCTCGGTACAGGTGTCGGCTACACTCGTGTGTGTGTGTCAGGTTACCTTTCTGCCCCAGAACTTGACACTTAATCTGAATATGTGGGAAAAGTGTTGCACCAGAGCTCGCGTGCGCGAGACTAGCGAAGTTTGGGGAGCTGTGCGTAAACCCCAGATCAGTTTGTTTGGGTTTGAAATGTGAAACAGGCACTCTGCTGGGGAGCTGCAGTCCTCTGATCCAGACCAGAGAGAAATGTGTGGTCGCCTCCGTGGCAAAGCCTGCGCAGTCCTAGCAACGCACTGTTGCTAGGCAATACATAATGTACGAGAAACAGGAGGCTGCATGAAGGTGGGGTTGCACATTCTTTCAGGATTACAGATTCCTGACTTGTTATGAGGTCAAATGATGGGCTTGGTTAATCCATGACAGGTGTGTGGTTTTTTTTTTTACGTGTCAGCCAAACGGAAGAGCAGTGTGGGCTTTTAAATGCAAGTTCACAAAGCCTGGGGCTTCCCCATCTTTCCATGCCTTCTAAAGGCAGCCGAGGAGCTGGCAGCAGGATGCCACGCTGATGCTTTGTTTTGGTCCCCTCTTTGCCTCCCCTGGGGAGTGATGCTTAATCAGCAGCATCCTTCTGGTCAAAAATTGATCGATCATCCAGCCCTGACCCTCTGTTATCTGTGGCCAAGCATCCCACCCTGCCTCTGCCTTTGACATTCAACCACACAGAAGCCAGTCCTGTAAACCATTCTGCACACATGTCAAACATTAATCAGAAGTTCCCGTTTTTCTTTCGCCTGTTATCAAGGAGCTCTTCGTCTTCCACTTTTCTTCGCTGTTGCAATCTAATTGCAGACTTAACAGAGTCTGGGTGTTGTGAATAAACTTGTCTTGGCCTGCTGTGTTGTTAGGGATGTACCCCCAAGTGGACCTTTTCCTTTGCATGTGGCACAATTGATGTATTTTTGCAATGGCAGTTTTGCAATTTCTCTCCTTTTCTTCCACTGTCACTGTTGATTTGTTATACGATTATTTATTATTGTTGATCAGTCATGTCTGTATTATTTATTGCTGCATGTCGATATTAAATTCAATCTCATTAGTTTTGCTTTTGGGCCTAATTCCTGCATGCTTTCTGTTTAATCCCACCCTGCTGGGTTGATGTAATGACACCCTGCCTGGTCACAACATCCAGCTAGTTTCCATTTTTCACAGATAGAAATTGTTTAAAACATCAGCAGTATTCTTGGGTATGAAAGGCCTATTTTTCTTTTTAAAATGAAATGCGTGGGAGGCAGAAAACTCCCTCGTGGCTTGTCAGGGAGCTGTCCTTTGTGACGTTGCCAACGTGAAAGACGGATAAACAGAAATCTAATACTTGCGCGCACGTGTGTGTGTGTGTGTGTGTGTGTGTGTGTGTGTGTGTGTGTGTGTGTGTGTTAATGATGCTGCCTCTAGAGATCACAGTTGTGTGACTCATTAGGATTTTTCACATTATTCAGAAGCTGGTGAGTGCTCAGTCGGTTTTGGCTTTAGATTTCTAATGTCACACAAATTCTACCAAATTATGCAGTCTGGCAACTAGGGATGTGAATCTGAAAACAACTCACGATTTGATTCGATTCTGATTCTTGGGGTGTCGATTCGATTCAGAATTGATTCTCGATTCTCAATTTAAATCGATTCACAATCAGTATTAACAGAGTGTCACCTTCAGGATTAACTATGTTGTACAAGTTAGTTAAAGCTATGGGACATTTTTATTTGACTTTAAAGGGACTTTATGGAGTTTTGAATTTTTATGCTCGCGATTGTCCCCTCAGGCCAAAAGAGTAACGGCAGCTTCAATAGTAGGCTCGTGCACGAGGCGCGCATGCTGTACGTGCACACTCCTTAATGAAAATAACAGCTGAGACAGTCCCGTGTGTGTGTGTGTGTGTGTGTGTGTGTGTGTGTGTGTGTGTGTGTGTGGGTGGGTGGCCCGGAGGACAGGAGAACGCGCAGCTAATGAATTAAATAATTTGGTTCTGTACCTTTCTCTTCAGCACAGCTGACAAAGGTTTAAGATGGGTCAGTCCTCCTGCATGCTCAGATCATTCCCTTCCCTTGCTTGAAAAATTGTTCCAAAATGAAAGTTGAACCCACATATTTATCTGTGAATTCAATGCCGTTCGGCGAGTTTCAAATAAAAATTTGGGCATCTTAGTGTAAAAAAAAATACCATTAATGTAAAAAAAATAAATTCTAAATAATTTATGTTCACATCCAGAATCGAACCTGGATTTTCTGCACGAGAGTCCGACATCTAACTAGGTGAGCTAAAGCGCCAGTGTCATCTATTGTATCTGTAACATTTATTTCCTTGATGACAGTTGAAACAATGTTCAAAGAACGGTTCGGAGCGAAAATGGCTATTTTGTTGCTAATTTGCAGGAAAAATCTGGAAGAAAGTAGCTAAGGGTCCTCAGAAATGCAGCTAGGTTAATCACTAGGCGTTAGGACCAGTGACAAAGTCGCTGAGTTGGCACTACCTCACTCTCTGCTGCTAAAGCTACGGATAGCAAATGCTACGGGCTATGCCTGAGCGTGAACGCGCATGAAGCAGCCTGCTCGACCCGAGCATCTCTCTTTTGCTGTGATTTTACAGAAAAACAGGCAATCACAGTAAAAATGCCAGGGCTCATTCTACAGGACCAGGGCATTGCAGGAGAATGTATGAAGAAAAAATTTATTATTTCTACACGTTTTGGCTGTCAAACTTCCATAATGTCCCTTTGAACTGGTCATGCTCCAAAAATGCAAATTTACAATGTAAAATAAAGTGATTCTAAAACTGTAAACAGAAGCAATCTTTTGACCAAAAGACAACATTTATTTTTGCTTACCTTGTAAAAATATAACAAATCTGTAGTTGCCTAACAGTAGCTTTGGAAGTAATACGGTCAAATGCTTTTCAAGTATGTGTAGAAACAAGTTACATGAGTAATCCTGAGTACTCATTTATCAACTTAGAAAATAAATATGAGAATATCTCAGATTTCTGAGTATGGAAAAAAAATTACATTCAAGTGCCCTCTTATCAGCAGATTCAAACATAAATCATCTCAATTTATGGGACCACAAAAGTAAACGGAGTACTGACTCTCCTAAAAAAGATCAAAAAAGTGCATCTCAAACCTGTAACATGCCAAATATTTGAGTTATTGGAATCGATTCTGAACCTTTATAAATAAGAATCCAGATTCAGACTTGAATTTATTTTTTTCAGCACCTTTACTGGCAACCCAGTCAAGGCAACAAAACATACAAATCAACCTGCTGTTCAACCATAAAACTTACTGATACAGGTACACAAACATGACACCCCCCACCCCCCCTTCAACAAATAATAGAGATATTTAGAAACATACATGGTCTGTTGTAACATTTATGTTGTTACTTTTGGTAGGCGTTTAGGGAACTTGTTGCATCACCTTCAAAGGTGGAATAAATGATATTTTTCTGACCTTGTGGAGCTCTCGGGAGACCTCTGTGTTCCACCCGGTTTTACCCAGCGGTCAGCCCGGCGTATCTCAGAATCAGAAGCTCTGGTGTTGTGCACAGTTAACTCCGGTTGTTGCTAGGTTGCTACTTCCGTTAGCTTAGCTCCCACCTCCGCGTTAACTTTGGGTTAGCTTCAGGTTAGCTTGTAGCTAGTTCGACCGGGTGTCATCAGTTGATCCCAGCCTTACAGCCCCACCCTCAGCTCCACCTCTCTTCCCTTTTGTGGAATTGTCTGGGCTTGACGGAACCTGTGACACGGTCAAAATGGCGGTGGTGGCTACCTCCCATTTATCTTCAAAAACGTGTTATTGGAGTCTATGGAAACCCATTGTCCAATATTTATATGTCAATGGTTGACACAAGCAGCACTTGTTCACATTGTTGCTGCTGCACTGCACGTAGTACTGGAGGACTCTGCTACGCAGCGCAGTACAGAACTCAGACTGGATAGAGTGTTGGATTTGTAGGTTACAAACAAACCCTGGCAACAATAGAAGACATCAGCAGCTGGTTATTTTTAAGATGATGACAGACAAAACGATGGCAGTGGTGTCATAGCTACTACGTAAGACCTGCTCATGTTGTCAACTCCCTCTACTGGTTTCTTGAGTATTGCAGCTTACAAACACATCACATTAATTTCAGAGGATGCACTCGAACACAAGTTACGTGGGGCAGCCATGATTAAATGTGTGTAGAAGTATATATTCTGCAGCTCGGCCGGTCAGAGCTGTGTCCCCCTGTACAAAGTCATCCTGAGGGCCTGCCAGCCTGTAATGGAGATTGCTTCCTGCAGGATTCCTTTATGGTGTGATAAAGTCTTTACTGATTTACAGCTCCTGTAGATATTACGTATCTGTAGGCAGCTTCTGCACAGTGGAGTCGTGAATGGTGTCTAGTCGAGACGGCGCTGCACAAGCATGCTTTGTCAAGTTTTCTGAAGGACGATTTTAATCCTGCAGGGCAATGATTGTTTAGCGTTCTCTGGTTCTGGCTGACACCGCTGCCAAACTGCAACACTTTAAAGCATCATAATTGTTATTTCTGACCCTTTAACAACAATCATTTGCTGAATAATGACTGTGTGAAGCATATCTGTACTTTTTATTGCTGGAAAAAAACTGTAGCTTTCTTCTGGCTCTAGCTGTGTAGCCATTAATGTGTGTGGCCCAAAATAAGGAAAACCTGATTAATGTTAACTAGTCAACCTTTATGTTATTCTATGACACCAGTATGGGCAGAAATCACTCTGATTAACCAGTTGAGTGTCCTGGTAAGAAATAATTGATGTAATCTTCCTTAGCCATATGTCTCGGCATATGGTCGCTGTGCCTCTGCTTCAGTAGTAGTGGAGATAAGTGAAAAACAACCTCATAAA